CACGGCATAAATGTCTAGTAAGGGTTATTATACTACTAAAGAGTACAAGACTGATAATAACCCCTGGGAATGAGGTGATCGCTACCGTGCTGTTTCTAAATGTTTTCATAACAATTGTATAACATATTATGCTGTAAACTAGCTGTTCCCCGCGAATTCGCTCGCGTGTTAGGGTTTTTATGTTTTTGTGGGGAACCCTAATTATTTTTCTAAAATAAATGTAGCCTAAGTTACTCCTTATGAAATAAGCTATCTGCCAGTGAAAGTTCCGTCAAAAACCTTGAAAATGACACCCATGATGAAAAAATTGATACCTATTGCAGCCGCCACCTTGGATTTACATTTCGACAGCACTGTCAGCTTCAGCACCCTCGAAAACCTTGAAAATGACATCCATGGCGAAAAAATTGATACTACATACTTACATTTAGTACGTACTACTATTATTTATTCTGTGCTTTTAAAATGTTGTAATAAAAAAATCTCACATTAATATTACGATTCAGAGCCGCTGCAAACAACTGTAACAATTTCCAGTCACGACGGTGACTGACGCCGAACTGAGTGACGCAGTCTATTTAGTAATACTTTATTCATACAAGGCTGCCGAATACACCGAAAAATTCAACATTTCGCAGCCGAAAAAAAATTTATTATAACTAAACTAAACAAAATTAAACTGCCATTTAATTTTGTTAACACTTAAACATTAATGGATAGATGAAGAGTTTTAAAAATATATTGAGTTGAACAATTGATATTTTCAAAAGTTATTGTGTTTACAAGCCTTATGGACTTGATTAATCCACTCCATAACCCACTAAAACCCATCTTTTATTTAAAAATAGGAATTAATCGATTTAAAAAAAATATTAATAAGTCCAACAATCATTTATCTTTCTGACAATGTGCTTTTTATATGACTATATGTACAATATGATTGCTAGATACGATTTCATGCGACAAAACGTTGGAATCTTAATTTTTAGGCCCTAGTAGAACATACCGACGCGCTTAGGCGTTTACGGCATGCAAAATGACTTTTAATAAGTATTATATATTGCAAAATATATTGAATAAAAATAATTCTATTCTATTCTATAATTAACTAGTTGCAGCTGGAATGTATGGACCCTCCATTATTTTTGAGCAAGCAGTTCTATATTATAGACCACTGCGCACCGGGCGTAGACGAGCCGAGCACCGTGCCCGGTTTCGCGTTTAGCCGGCGCTAGTGCTGGAGTCGTGTGTTTGGCTTCATAGTGTCCTATACAATACTGACGACCGGACGTAGACCCGGCTTGACGCTGGGCTTAGCTCCGGCGAAAACTCGTCTCGTGGGCATGAGTCCTTAAGGCGAGATGCAGAGTTGTTAAGGTTTGGGTCTGATCTGTAACCATGTGTATATATACCACAGAATATTTTTACTGCTAACGGAGAATATACGAGTACACAAATATCGCAAAAACTACAACTGGGTCAATTTTTCATTCATTATTATTATACACTAGCTTTTTACCCCCGGCTTCGCTCGCGTGCGCTTGAATTTAGGAACATCATTAAATGCTGTTCCGTGCCAAATTTAGAAAAATTCGATCACTTTTAGAGTCACCTCGGTGTCTATGTCTCTATGTCTGTCAAAGATTTTTTTCATTCTAAAATACTATTAGACGTAGATGATTGGTAAAATGCTACAGAAACACGTGAATATATATGTCTAGAAACTCCTACTACTTTTTTATATCGGGCGTGTCTTCCGATTCCGATCTATCCATAAGAAAGGTAAATAGTCCTGAAGTCAAAATGTATTATTATTATTTACATTTTACTCTTTACATTTATTTATAGTTAAAGTTAATTTAGTTTTAACAAAGTATTATAATGTTTATTTGAGACATCTTATTCATATCATTGGTCCTATTTAATATTGATTGGCATCATAAAAAAGATGTAGATATTATTTTTGAAAATTTCATAAATACAGTTCTATAATAATGAATACCTACTACACATGGATTAAAACTAAAGTTACGGGTTTTTTTACGCATCTTGGATGAAAGTTCCGAGTAAAAGAACATATCGTTAATGTGAAGCACCGAAGCTCCAGGAAGTCTAAAGTATGTCAACATGTTTAGTATCGTCCCAACCATTATATCGGATCTGATAAACAACAAATCCTTGGAATAGAACACCGAATCCTACCAATGATGATTCGCGAGGCTATTGAAATTAAAAATATCCTAATTTTAATAGGGAAGATAGCTGAGTGATACCATCTGCTAAGGACCCCATAATTAATAAAATTAAATTCAAACTACTACTGCATTTATTATATTCTATTTTAACTATGACATCAGGTCGTCAAACACCTCAGTTCTCCCGCCCCTCCCGTGATCACGGGTGCTGTAGTGTCCAAAACATCGGGAATTTAAAAAGTTAAAATTAAACGCGATAATATCCTTAAGATTCGTTTTATTCCTTATAAATATTATTCACAGTGAACGTGAGCATCACTACACTCATGAATGGGAGTAGAAAAATGTTCGCCCTGTTGTGGCGGTGAAAGAAAATCCACCACCTCATATCGTCCCGTTGTAAGAGGCGACATAGGAAAACAAACTGGAGATGGGATGGGCTGCATCATCTTCTTGACAACAGATCAAAATAATAATAGCTGCCGTTGCCAATCCGCATTTTAACTTTTACCCTATCTTTGCAAGCCTTATATTAGCCTATTTAATATTTACTGTAGAGTGAAAACTAAAAGCAACATACTCGAAAACACGAATAAAATAAAAATAGCATATATTGCCCCATGAAAAGTAAAAAAGTAGCAGCTTACATGTTACTAATAATAGGCACAGGCCACAGTTTTTAGCCAAAAAAGTGTTCGCTGCGCTGATTCCAACGCGGGATGAATGTAATGTTAATGATTCAATTATTTACATCGTATATTCAGTAGCATTGTATTATTTCATTTTATCAATGACTTGCCATTTTAGTTTATTTAGAAGTAGGTGGCGCTAATATTAGATGAAATAATGAAAGCCAAAACCATACCATCTAGTAATATAAGCAATAGAAGCGAACATTTATTTATTATATCAATAAGGGATAAAGTGAGGTCAATTCTCTTAAAAGTTCTGTTTCTGTAAAATACGCTATCAGCGCTCCTAGTGATGAAAAACGAAATATTGTCATATGACCATATTATAAAATAGCAACGTTGTGTTTAGTTATAACTATCTTCAAACGATTTCTATTCATTGATTTGGTCAAGCTATATCATGACATGGTCAACAAATAGTGTCAAATATCACGAAATTACCACACCATTTCACGAAACGATAGACTACTTTATGATATATGATTAATTCTACGATCTGGCCACGACATCCATAAAAATCTCTTGAATAAAACTATAATGATAATGAAAATTTTGCAACAATTGCGAATTTCAAAAGTGGTCACCGGAACCGGTGCCACGCGACAGCTTTTGCTGTCGCACGGATGGGCAGGCTCGAACCGGGGTGGTACCACGACCTCACAGAAAACCAGCGTGAAGTAGAGGTTTGCCTATGCGTTTCGCTTGGTGAGTGCAGGTGCCCGGATGCCCTTTTTACTGGAAATGAGGCATTCCATCTTAGTCCTCACGGGTGACAACGCATCTACATTTTGATTTGTAATAGAGGATAGATGTAGATGTCTATGGGTCGCAGCAACCACTTACCATCAGGTGGACTGTGTGCTCGTTTGTCACCCTTATCCTATAAAAAAAATGCAGACAGACCAGTTTTAATCACTTTACATATATATTAGTAATTCAAATAAATACCTTATCAATTTTTATATTTATGATAGACGTCACTATTATCTATTGAAATTATTACACTTTCAAAATAAAATAACAAAAATTAGTAAGTATTTATTTGAAAAACACCCGTCATCCCGCCTATAACTAAGATATAATAGAAAATTAACATCTAAAGGAAATAAAATACTTAACCTTCCTTTTTTGAAGTTCCGTAATCGGATAAAAAGTAGCCTACAAGTTGCCCCGGGTTACTCACTACCTACATACAAAATTTCATGTAAATCGGTTCAGTAGTTTTGCGTGAATCCGGAATACACAGACAGACAGACAGACAGAAAGACAGACAGACAGACAAAAATTCTAAAAACCACTAATTTGGCTTCGGAACCCTTTATTTAGTCCCCTGGACTTGGTTTTTCAAGAATATATTAGAATTACAGACACGACTTTTCTACAGATTTATTATATGTATAGATTTCATTTTTAATAAAGTTGAAATTAAGAGTGTTTTTAGGACCAAATTATTTTCGTCGATCGTATTTGTAATGTACAATACAATTGTTTCCGATGTTTGCCAATGCACAACGTTTATTCTGAAGTACTGTACATCTATTTATCTCAATGTCGGTGCCAATAAAATGACTTACTTTCACTTTCATGAATAGATGCATGCTGTTTTTTTTTAATTAACTGTCCAGGACCATTCGCAAGCATTGTGTAGACTTACCATTACCATTACATACATTACCCATAAATGTTAATGTTAGACAGTTTACGAGGAAAAGGATATGAGCAGTTAAAAGACCCATGAACATACAAATCACTATATTTTAGTAAATTAAACAAGCTTAATGAAATAGTGCAATTAAATTAAATTTTTAATATATACACACTATATTTTGCATTAAAATACAGTTATATTTTATTTATTAAAATAATATCTATATATTGTACATTTTTTCCGCACAGTTTTTTTCTTTCATTTTCTTTGTGTTGACTTGACACTACTGAGCTTAGTAATCTATATATATTTCATACCATTATAAATATAAATCGGCCCTAATATAACGCCCTTTGTATTAAACAAAAATAAAAAAATCCAAATAATAATAAAACCGTATCAGGTCTAGCACTTTTATCTACTTGGTAGCCGACTTTTGAATGTATTGAATACATATATTATATCCTAAACTTGTTTAACGACTAGAAGAGAAGCGTTGTTGGAAAAGTGTGTGCTGGCTCGGTTGTTCAGACCCCACGTGGTAGTGAGTGTGAAGGCGGAGCCCACTACATAAGTGCCGGGGGCGGCACAGAGCGCTCGCACTTGTACACGACGTGATTCAAATTTTTGTAGCGTCACATTCACTCCTAACTCCTTGGAATCTGGATCAATGCCTGTGCTTAGTGCTCCCGCCCAACCCAATTCACCAGTCGTTTCTCTGGAACGTACATAATACATAAACTATGTAAACTAGTATACAGATATACATATAACAAGTGAAGGCGTAGAATACGCTAATTAAACTTACCTATTTTGTTGTTTAGTCATATCAATAAAGACCGTAACCGGCACTCCATAACAGTTGACTATATTTATAACAATAGGTATCAAACACAATTTTCTCAAAGTAAAGTTATGATTCACATAATTGGAATGCTCTAATCTGAAAATAACGACATCACTTGTGTGGCTCTTTTCCTTTATTTCATTAATGTTAGTTTTACTTTCTATATCGTCCAGTGGTATCGCGGGTAGATCTGGCGACAAATCTATTTCACGGGACAACGCTTTAGTGAAGCAATCCATCCATAAACAGTGTTGTCCAATGGCGGTTCTATTTTTCACTCTATCATAAGCCTTCCATCTCAAAACAAGCATCGACTGTATCAACCCATCTCTCTTTTTCACTGGTACTGAATAATTTGTTTCAGTATTATCGTCAATAGAAGGCAAGGAATCGACCAGGAATTTAGAATATGGCGGGGAAATAACATCGGCGACGCTTTCAGCGTGTCTTTTCCCAACTTTAATATATGAATATTCTAATTTGTTTTTGTCAGTTTCTTCAAGAATTCTTTTAGCTTTAAACACGTAATGAATTCTTTCGCGTGGGACCAAAGCCTCATCGACATTAGGGGCTGCGATTGCGTTAGTTAACTTCCACTGTTGACTGAGCAGAGAAACCTCTAATACTTCTATGGAAATATCCTCGTGTTTCTCTTTACAAATATTTTTAACTTCGACCGCAAGACTCATGTTTTCTAAGACTTCCCCATCAGCTTTATTTAAGCTTCTTCTTGGTGTTACTTGTATTTCAACCGCCTCCTGCAACACATCCAAAACGTTTGACTACATTTATGATTTCAAATTGAATTGAATTTTACAAAAATCGCAATCATTAACATCACAGTCAGTTCACTCAAGTCCACACAAGCAAGGCTTAATCTTATGTCTTAAGCCTTTTCTTTTTGACCCATTGTTAATCGCATTTGTCCTAGAATTTATGAATTGAAAAACGGTAATGTCTGAATGAACCAGATTGACTAGAAAGTTCAAAATTTGTGTGTTTGTGTGTGACAATTAGGTAAGGGACTGTAAACTTAAGATCAATTTATAAAATAATAAAAATCTTAAGCTTAATCTTTTTTGTATCTAATCAGCATTTTAATCACTCCGTATAATATATAGATACAATATTTTGCAATAAAAAGGGGAAAAGTAAATATTTCACACACATTTCAAAATTGTTTCAAACCTTCAACAGTGGTCATTTACGGGCTAATTATCAGTTATTCCTTTTAGAGTTTTGCAGTCGGCTTTCACTTTTCATTAAAAGTTAAATTTATTGGCCTCTTTATCCTCTTTGCTCTCTACCCTCTTTGATCCTTTTAGGTGAACTAAGGAATATCACAAGCTCTACGTAATAACTAGAATATTGTCTAAGTTACATTAAAAACTCTCGTTTCTAAACTAAACTCGTTGACAAATGGCAAGAACATACACAGAAAACCATACAATCGCATTGAGAACTTTCTTTTTTTGAACTTGGTTAATAACACTGGTAGTAGAGGCTTGTATTGAAGTGATCTTGTGATGGGCTGCTATGAATTTATGAATATGAACGATGGGACAGTTAGTCTATCGTGCTGCTTCAATGAGTTTTAGCGGACTTAACATTCTTGAAATATTTTATTTCTTAAATATTCATCTATTCTTATGATGTTTTCCTACAATGCCGAGCATGTGGTAAATGGTGTTGACGGAGATGAAGCTGGGTTGCTCGTTGTAACACGAATGGGTGGGTTCGACTGAGGTAGGACCACGCTCTCACGGAATACCAGTGTAAAATAGCAGCTTAATGTTATTGTGTTCTGTATCTTAAGTGTAGAGAACCGGAGATCCTTTTTACTGGAAATGAGGCATTCCATCTTAGTCCTCACGGGTGACTACGCATTTGCATTTAAATTCGTAATTGAGGATAGATGTAGATGTATATGGATCACAAATACACTTAAACCATCAGGTGGACTGCGTGGTCGTTTATCACCGTTATTCTATTTAAAAAAAATGGTGTTTGGTTTTGTAAATATAAAGCAGAGACCGTGGTGTCGAAGCGCATCTCGTGGCGCAGCAAGCGGTGCGGGCGCTGGCGCAGGCCGGTCTCGTAGTAGGCGAGCAGGCGCAGCGTGCGCGCGGCGCGGCGCGGGCGCAGCAGCAGGCGCGCGCGCACGGCGGCGGCCGGCGCCAGCGCGCGCGCCGCGCGCCCGCAGTGCCGCGCCGCCGCGCCCGCGCGCGCCCCCGCACGCGCCGCACGCTCGTCTGCACGACAATCGCCAACAATCAATCACGCCTTATAACTTACCGCCTACCACATCTCACTAAGGATCGACCATCCACGACTTTTTCTGCCACTAGGGCGCGCCACTTAAAAATAACACGCGAAATAAAAATATAATAAAGAAATAAATTTGTTCGAACAATGTAAAGGTTTCTTTCTGTACTATTAGTTATATTTTATATAAATTAGATTAATAATACATAAGCCAAATCACAGTTATTCGTAAAAATAGAAAAAAAAAAGAGTTAAAAATGTGGAAACAAAAGCGATAACCACTAAGACATTGTTTTGTGCATTAATGTAATACTCTAGAATCCGATAAATAGATCTCATTGGGACTGAGATGAGTATATTTGCAGTACAGTGTCACCATAAGGAAAAAATGGTGTTTCAAATAAATATCTTTCGCTTTCAAGTGTATAAGTTAAGGACCAAGAGATGTCAGCCTATTTAATTTAATTATTGCCTAGGCAATAATCAAAAAGAAACATAAAACAATTGAAATTCGGTCAGTAGGAAATACGATCAAATATTAATTAACCCCATTCCTGTCCTATCTTAGTGACAGAAAAAATTGTGAAGCCATCGACTTGATTAATAAACATCGTTTTATAAATTCATGCCTGAGTTTTATTGATCTGCTAAAACCTATCTTATGATTACCCACGTACTTATTATTTACTAAATACTTAACCAGAAAGAAGTTAGCGTAGAATTTAAAAAAAAAATTAAATTGTATGCCAATTAATTGCTCCTTAAATGATCCCTTAGAATCCATAATTGTTCCACGTCTAATACTATTAGTTAATTAATAATTATTCTTTTTAAATTAAATTTTTGAAAATTTTGTTTTATACAAAAATAAAATTTTCAAATTTAATTTTTACCACATCATTTTCACAAAATCCAAGATTCTACAAGCGATACGAAGACGTTACTTTCACAATCTTACCATCTGACAAAGTAACTGCATAACCACAATTATTACTACCAATTTATACTACCAAGGATGATTCGCGAGGCTATTGAAATTAAAAAACATCCTAATTTCAGTAGAGAAGATGAATAAGTGCTGCCATCTGCTTGGGATCCTATAACTAATAAAATTAAAGCCAAACCCAAGTATACCATTGCAAGACTTCAAGGTACTGTAAGTTCATTCTGCGTAGATCGGACCAAAAATTAATATTAAAAAACTGAAGGTAGCCGACTTACTATGATATCGGGACGTCAAACACCTCAGTCCATGGGTGATGTAAACCACCCGAAACGTCGGGCATTAAAAAGTTAAATTAAACGCGATAAAATCCGTAAAAAATAGTTTCATTTAATGTGTTGTCTTCGCGTAAATATAAGAAATAAAAAATTATTTTATTATATTGAAATTTAACTTAAATTCAACTACCCAACTATAACTATTTAATTTTTGGATAAAGTATCACTTTTACATCAGTGTATCTAACTTGGGAGCATGTATATTGTCTATTCCACAGAGCCTAGCTACGAGTAAATAAATATTTTTTTAAAGTATTAGAACTCACTGTCTGTGTAAGCCAGTGTAACTGTCACAATCTACACTCGAGTAAGAGTGACACAGTCGAGGAAAGAAATTCCACATTCTTTTTTGTAATTTTTTAGGATTTTATAATAATAACATCCATCATCGGGAATGTACTCATCGATAACTCAAGTACATATCTATTATAACTAAAAAAAAAGAGGGAAATTTTCGAGCAGACTAACTCCCACAAGCAGCATCTATTCAAAGTACGACGCATGTGACAGAATATAGCCTAAAAATCAATGAAAAATTTCCAAAATTGAACCCTATAAAGCTAACGTTCCTGAACTAGCCCGATAAGCTAACCATTCGTATTTTTGACGATCATTTTCAAAAGCCTATTTTTAACTAATTTATATATGCTTTACTTATGTATATTATATTTATAGAAAATTTAGGTTATGAATTAAAAACATTTTTAACGAAAATCAATATATTTTTATTTTTTTAGCTTACAATTATAAGTTTTACATGGCATGTATTTATTGAGATCAATAAGGCACTTTTAACTTAAATGACTAATAAAGAATTTTTAATCAGAATATTTTCCTTCGTGACAGTGGCTTACCACCAGCTACCAGGACATTATGGCAATAAATGATGTAGGAGTTAATACCCCAAAATATTCAACATGCCATAGAACATGCACATGGGCCACCGATTGGTCTTTCGATTGCAAGAACACATCTGGTCAACGTCTACTCCCCCTTTTGTATTAATGTAGAACTCGATTATGTGGGGTAGTTTTGTGGTTGAGTTCACAGTTCCTTCTTCGTCACAAGATGAAACAAAATAAACCATTTTGCTTAGCTTTGGTTTGAATGACAGTAGCGTTAGAGGTCCATCGTAAATAAAATAGATGTGCCACTCTGCTGCCTAGACCACTCTGCTGCGGTAATTTTTCATTTCTTCTGGAATTTCTCTTTTGTTGGCTCGTAATGTTCCTACTAACGTCAATTTGAAAGGTTGTTGTAGCAATTGTTTAGCTAATGGAATAGACGTAAACCAGTTATCAGTAGTTACGTTTCGGTTCGAGCCATGTATACTTCGTGTTAGTTCCTTAACAACATATTCTCCAAGAGGAAGACCACCAGTGTTTGTCGCTTTTCTTAAGTAAGTCATGGCGTAGACCATGTACCTGGTGCCACTGTCACACATCATTTCGATTTTGAAACCATACTTCGCAGGTTTATTTGGGATGTACATTTTAAATTTACATCGACCGCGAAATGCCAACAGTTGTTCATCGATGGTAACATTGGTTCCAGGAACATAATTGCTGCGACACTGTTCCATCAATAATTCCCATATCTTTCGGATCGGTGTAAAAGGATCAGATTGCAAAGTTCGTAGTCTTATAGATTTATCATCAAATCTTAGGCATCTTATGAGGAAGTCAAATCTTTCTCGGCTCATACACGAGATGTATCTTGACCCACAAAAATCCGGGTTGAACAATTCTTCGGGTGTTGGGTGGTTATCTTTCATCGCAGCTGCCAACAACAAGACACCAAGAAGTACGTTGAGTTCATCTTTGCATAAATCTTTTTGAGTCGATGTCAAATTCTTATAGCCTTCTCTTTTTATAGCTATTTCTGCATTGTTCCACTCTAAAATTTCCTCACAGATTTCAATAGTTATGAAGGAACTGAACAAAAGTTCAGTCAAAAGTTCAGCGGGTCTGTTATGAATCTCAAAGAACGGGTTGGTCCTCCACCCACGCGAACGATATTTATCGCAGAAGTTCGAGAAGATGTACCATGTCCATACATGACGATTTTTACTTCGAATGGTAGTTTGAATCAAACTAATAATATAATTGGAAACTGATGAAGCCGAAGGGTTTGCTTGGGACACACTTGCTGATTCTGAAGATGGTCTTCTTTCTTGTTCTTCAACTTCTTCAGTGTCAGCGAGTTCGTCATGGTAATCACTTTCTACGTCATCGACCAATAATTCGTCTTCATACTCCTCACTATCTGACCCGTCATTTGTGAAGGCTTCATCTTCATTATCTAAGGCCCGAGCTATTTCTTCATCCGAAAGAATTGATGTTCCAGCCATTTTCCGTGATTAAAACAATAACTAAAACAAAAATAACACAAAAAACTGAAAAAATGCAAATCAAAGTTCAACATCACAGTAGGAGTAAAAGTTACACAAAAGCTAACGCTACGTAACAGTTGTTACGTATCTCTAAAATAAAATTACTTACCGGCTGAAGACGACCCCCACGCGACGCAGTCCATTGGGTTCTGAATTGGCGCGAAAGCACAAATATGTAAGTTACAACGAAAGAAAGAAATAGAAATATTTATTGCATGCTCGTCGTTTTGACGAACGTTAGCTTTATAGGGTTAATAAACTTTAACAAGCTATTTGTTGTTGCATGAGAATTGTGTTAATTCGCCCCATTATTAATTTATTTTCAGCTAGAATTAATTTTCTTTCAAAATACGTTATTTGAATTTGGATAACATTTTGTAATACGCAAGGAAACTATAAATCTTTGTTAGCTGGGATTGGAAAGTCAAAAGATATTTTTTCTTTGAAAATGCAAAAGAAATAAAAACTTTCATAAACAGCTGTTTTTTTATCACCGAATGAAGAAAAACATATTGAAACACTTACCCGAATAGGAAGGCTGTTCGCGGTATTTTTCGTCGTAAAGCAATTTGAAATCATCACTGTGCTCATCAATGTCGAGGCGGACGCAATCAGGATGGGATACTGCTAAGTACAAGTTCTTCATCTCCACGGGACCCACGTTGCGGAATTCCACATCTATTGTTCTCAATTCGCCACTGATCACATCCGGACTGGTCTCCGAAAATGTCATCTGTTAATAAAAAATTCCAGTAGATTATATTTTACGATAAGTTACACAATATTAAAGAATTAAAACAACTCTAGGTACAATATTAATTCATATATTAAACTAGCTGGCTCCCGGCGCGTAGCTGCCGCAGAAGAAATAAATTAATAGAAATATCATTTTGAATTTGGAAGAGTTATATTATTTAATTAAGAACGATAATACATCACTGAAATGGAACAATAATATATAACTTTCAAATAAATCTGTCGGTACGATACGCCTGCCATCTACTGTAAGTTAATTGTACTATGCCTATAACCTTCGCGCAAGTGCAAGCAATAAGTTGACAAAGTTTTACTTCAATCTGATGAACGGTATGGCAGCGCATATAATACGATAAAATAAACATTTATTTTTATATATTAGATTATTAATTATCGCGATTCCATATCACATTTACAGTTTAATATGACATTTATACAAATAAATAAAATTTGTAATGTCAAAATTACGGCTTTTTACTAAATGCATATGAAAGTATATACGATACTTAGAACAAAAACACAATTTTTAAAATTTTTGTCTGTCTGTCTGTTTGTTCTGGCTAATCTCCGAAACGGCTTGACCGATTTTGACGGGATTTTCACTGGCAGACAGCTGATGTCATAAGGAGTAACTTAGGATACTTTTATTTTAGAAAAATAATTAGGGTTCCGCGCAAAAAAACTAAAAAGCCAAATAACACGCGGGCGAAGTCGCGAGGAACAGCTAGTTATTAATAAAATGATTACAAAATACACGAAGTTCTCCAAACATACACATTCATTACATTTATATTGTAATAAATTAAAAGACCTCTGCTTAACATAAGCCTCTCCTATAGATTGCCTCATACGTAGGATATTTGCTACAATTGGCACGCTTAGCAGGCGGGTTTGCAAACGCAGTATTTTTATTGTTTTGAGTTCTTTTCAAGATCCTGGTGCTTATCTCCCGTTTTAGTTTATCTATGTAGTATCTTACAACACCAACGCGATGACATTGAGTAGTGGATTTTCTTAAGCCTCGTTCCCACTACTGAAGTGCTAGTCTGAATAATTTGTATGGAACTGTTTACATTTAGCCGGGTCCAGCAAATCCATCCGACGTTTTGTCGCTGCGGAGCACGAGCGCCGGCTAAGCGCTCGGTCCGGCGTTATATTAATGAGCTTGCCGACCATCATAGTCCAGGAAATGTAGCATTTTGGCTCGCAATTTTTTCGTCCACCATGGATTTACTTGAAATTTTCACAGAAGGTAGGGCTAATAGCTCAAGGATCATTGTCTATATCATGCCGCTGTACGCTAGAGCCTTGGGGGTGGTTGCCACCCCATCTCGGGAGTAATAATAATAATAATATTTATTGACCCCAAAAACACTTTACAAAAAACAAAACCTTATAAAATTTATATAATTAAGACTTAATCCAACTCAATACTATAATCATGGTATCTTTAGCAACTGTGCTAGGTCACAGACCTGTGTTACAGCTGCTAAGCTCTCCCCTTTTAATACATTCGAAATAGAATAACAAAGTCATAAAAAACACATTTTATACGACGATTCATAAACAATGTAAAGTGGGTAGACGTAAAACAATTAGTTAAGTAACAAATCCGACAAATGGTACAATAACATTATGGCTATATGTACTAAAAGATTAGTTGTGTGGTACAAGAGCAAGGCAGAAGCGATATGTTATAAATGTATCACACACTTATTGATATTCAAATATTAAAGCAAACGTTTACAAGAACTTATTTTAGATTCCACATAAAAATAATTGTTTCAACTAGTGAGTAGTGACACAAATAATATTACATTTCCTTAAAAAAAAAAAAACAAAAGGATAATAAGTAAAATGTTTTATAGCATGTAATAATTTGTTAATCGTAACCAATATTACAAGCTTAAGCTATGTGTAAAACTATAGATAGGTAGATGCGAGTGTGTATTAAATAAGTGTGTGTGTTTGTGAGTGTGTAATTACGTGTGTGTGTGTATATGTGTGTATGTGTATGTACGTGTGAGAAAGAAGGAGTGAGTGTGTGATATTTGCTTAAGAGTTTGTGTTTTACCTATCTATATTTAATAATTTTTCAGTTTCCTCATAAGATAAAGACATTAGAAACGCGTTAGCGTATATATCGTTATAATATTGCTCATTTTTTTTTTATAAAGGTAAGGACCCAAAAAGTTTATTTGTCTTTGAGCATAAGACGAGTGAAATTTGTCTGGTAGTAATACGATCTTTTCTTCTTAATTGTTGAAATAAATTTAAGTTACAATTATAATTCTTATGTGTTTTAAGAACAAATTTTAAAATATATAGCTGTCGGACTGTAAGCACATTTACTTCCGAGAACAACTTGCTTGTGGGAAACTTAAAAGGCTTAGAAAGCATAACTTTCAGCACAGCTCTTTGAGATCTTTCAATGCGCAAGATATAAGTTTTGAAAGTACCTCCCCAAGCAGTAATACAGTATGACAATAGCGAATGGCAGAGAGCATTATATATGGTTTTGAGTAGTTCAATTGGAATATGTCTTAAACGTTTAAACACTGGTATAAGTTTTCTAATGTTACTTTTTAATTTGTTAATATGCTCTTGCTAGTTTAGGAGGTAATCAACAGTAAAACCCAAGTATCTAATGGATTTCACTCTCTCTATGGTCTGACAGTTACATACAAGTGATGAAGAGTTACCACACATATGTGCTTTAAGAGAATAAGAGTCAAGTTCATGTTGACCTACTGAAGATTTCATAAAAGTAAGATACTTCGTCTTATCAATGTTCAAGGTTAGCAAATTCATTCTCAACCATGACATAACTTCTTCGAGACCTATCTCAGCTAAATCAATGCTTTCATGCCAGGAGGGTGCATGAAACAGTAGAACAGTATCATCAGCATAGGCAACAATTTTACAACCGCGCACTTTAAGCCCACATAAATCATTCACATATATTAGGAACAAGGTAGGGCCAAGTATGCTACCTTGAGGTACACCATAATTAATATTAGTTTTTTCACTCGTTACGCTATCAAGTTGAGTTCTATTTGATAGGTAACTTATAAACAACTTCAGAGATGTACCTCTGATACCTATTTTTTCCATCTTAGCTAACAGTATTGGCACAGAGACAGTATCGAACGCCTTTGCGAGGTCCAAGAATATTCCTATACATTTATTATTACAGTCAACATGTCTTACAATGAACTCTGTTAGAGATAAAACTGCATCTTCAGTAGATTTTCCATTTACAAAACCAAATTGATTTTCAGAAAGTAAGTTATATTTAGAAAACTATGATTTTAAACGATTATTTAGTAGACGTTCTAATACTTTAGATAGGGCTGGTAGAATGGAAATGGGACGATAGTTACTGATACTGTCTCAGTCTCCGCCTTTATGTATAGGACTTATTAAAGCAACTTTGAACTGATCAGGAAACACACCTGATTCAAGACTCAGGTTACAAATGTGCACAATAGAGGGAATTATCAGGTGCTTGGTAGATCTAAGCACCTGATTGGAAATTCCATCGTAGCCTGGTGCAGAATTATGTTTAAGATTACTCAGTAAACATTGAGCTTCAAGTGGATCGGTGTGTCTCAAGCCCAAAGATTGAGACTGATTTCTTAAATTCGAATCCGCTGTTTTTGACTCATTCCTTACGTAATTTATTGAAATTTCGTCTGCCAGTTTCTTTCCAATATTGGCAAAATAATTATTAATATTGTTAATTGATTGTACTGGATTGGCTTTTAGGCTAAGAAGATTAGTATTTAAAGATGTAACATTACTATTTAGTTTAGCTATATTTTTAACGATTTTCCACTTTATTTTATTATAATTTCCAGCTTTATATAATTCATTGTTATCAAAATCTGCCCTAACTTTTTTTAATAATTCGTTACAAAAATTTCTATAGCGTTTATAAGTAATCGTAAGCTTTATGTTATCAGGATGACTTATGACATCACGATGTAGTTTGTCTATATGTCTAATGCACCTTAGTAGCCCTTGAGTAAGCCAGGGAACTTTTATTCTCTTACGAGAGGGGACGGTCTTCATTGTGGTATGTACGTCTATTAGGGTTTGGGCCCCGGGACGTCTCGTGTCTCGAAGTCCCGGGACTTTTCGTAATTTTAGTTGTCTCGAGTCCCGGGACTTTCGGGTCGAGACTCGAGACGAGACAAGGTTGTCGAAATTGTTATGTAATCATTTTTATTTTCAAACAATTGAAGGTGCCTAGCGCCATGTGTTAGTTTAATGGAAAATTACTTGGTCTACTACGTAACTACTGAGTACGCAACACAATAAATGAAACAAATATGTGATTATGAGAATTAACAATGAGATTGTGAACTATGATTAGATACTTGAATTACTAGATAATAGTAAAGTTATTAAGAATTAGTATGATGTTTAACTAAGATCGTTTCATAACTATAAGATTTAACTGTTTAGAAGTGCATCTGTGTGTGACTAAAAGAAATAAACAAAGCCATTATTACGGCTGAAATTAATGTTAAAGTTATTTAATTTTCTGTTTAATCTAATATATAAAATTCTCGTGTCGCGGTGTTTGTTACCAAACTCCTCCGAAACGGCTGGACCGATTTGTATGAAATTTTGTGTGCATATCGGGTAGGTCTGAGAATCAGCCAACATCTATTTTTCAAACCCCTAAATGATAAGGGTGACTCACCCCTAAATATTTTTTATTATTTTGACAATTTTTTTTATTTTTATTTTATTATGATTTAGCTGTGAAAATTACATAAAACTTCAAACTTTCACCCTTCCACGATCAATCCATGCTTTTTAATCGCGATTTTTAAAAGTAAAAAATATTTCCTAGAAATAATGTACATGGCAAAACAACGTTTGCCGGGTCAGCTAGTTGTTTAATAAATGTTGATTTTTACAAAAAAATTGCCTCTCTTTAATAAGTTTCACCAGAAATTAACTCAATTATAATTCTTCAAAACAGGCTTACCCATCTTAAAAAACCAAAAAGCTTTTTCTTAAAAGTCTCGAAGACCCCGGAATTCTCGGGAATTTGATTATAGGCTGTCCCGTGTCCCGGGACTTTGAAATTGTCGGGAATTCCCAAACCATAACGTCTATAGCTCTTTGTAGCTCCTTTACTAGCATATTTGTAGCGATATTAACATCAGTACAATTTAATATAGCGTTGAGAAATTCCAAATTCAATTCAGATGCAACTTTTTCATAGTCAATAAATTTGTAGAGTTTTGATTCACTTAGAGGAATTATATAGTTTTCGAGACAAAATAGAACTGTATAGTGATCCGTTACAGTAGAAGCAACTATTAAAGTTATTGCCTTTAAACGAGATTTTAAAAATACGTAATCCAGGCATGAGTTTAATCTCATAGGCAGTGAATGTGTTGACAGTAATCCGTGATAAGCCATTAGATCGAGATATTCGTCACATTCGGGGTTCGAATTTGTAGTGCTTATATTTATGTTCATGTCACCCGTAACTATAATATTATTGAATTTATTCAACGGTTCTAGTATGTCATTAATAGTCTGCAAAAAGTTTTCATATGAACGATATGAAGGTGGACGATAGATAGCAATAATTGCAGTTTCGTTTCCGATCTTAATAATCAGACAGTTGCCTTCAAAAGCGGGGGGTTCAACTACAGTTGCCATAATATAATTTTTTATATAAACCACAACTCCTTCATTTTGTAACTTATTATTTTTAGTACCATATGCTATATAATCATTTAGCATCGGTAAATGATTAATTCCTCCGAGCCAACACTCTGTTAAAACAATAATATTAACATCAAGCTTCAAACAAGCCAAGAGTATTTCAACTTATTTTTTTTTTATAGGATAAGGGTGACAAACGAGCACACAGTCCACCTGATGGTAAGTGGTTGCTGCGGCCCATAGACATCTACATCTATCCTCTATTACAAATCAAAATGTAGATGCGTTGTCACCCGTGAGGACTAAGATGGAATGCCTCATTTCCAGTAAAAAGGGCCTCCGACCACCTGCACTCACCTAAACCTCTACTTTACGCTGTTTTTCTGTGAGGTCGTGGTATCACCCCGGTTCGAGCCGGCCCATCCGTGCGACAGTAAAAGCTGCCGCGTGGCTCTATCACTGTTAAAACTGTGGTAGGTTACGCCCGATGCTACGAATATTCTGACACATAATTATAAGCTTCTTGCCAGAATTGTCTAAAAGTTTGTGAGCAAGACGTACATCAGATTGATACACTTTTGACACATGATAATTATCCAATTCGGTAGTAAGATTTTTTGTATTTATTTTACTTTTATTTGTTACAACAAGAGTAAACTTTAAAACCTATTATTTAAGAATAATGTTATACGAACCACAAGCTCTAATATAAAATAATACAAAGAGGAGATATCAGAAGAAATTAAACTAGTTCTTTGTTCAGCGATAGGTAATAGTGGCCTAGCAGCGTTATAAAATTGTATTTTTTGAAGTGTATAAGAATTATGTGTATTGTAGATCGAAGGTGTAGTGTGTGCAACAAGCTTAATATGATACGCGTGTAAGACACAAAATTCGGTTAGTAGTACATTAAATGCTAATATTATTATGAGTATATATGCTAAAAAATTTAACCTGCACGTAGTATAGTGATAAAAACGACATTGGAATATTCTTCTTAATTCGTGAGCTGTTTCGAAGCTCGTCCAAATGTTTGTCGTTTTTAATGAGAATATGGGGTGGTGTAAAACTTTACCAATATTGGAGGACTAATATTTGATTTTATATTAACCCTATATGCGTCGTGGATTACAGATGTTAAGACATCAACATCAAGAGCTTTACCAATGGATTGTGTTAGACCACGTCAATCATGTTTTGTCTCGCCTTGTTTTTTTGGTATGTTCCTTATTTCAATAGTTGTGCTTCTACTACCCTTATCAAACGCTTCCAGCCTTTCTTCCAGTTCCTTGATGTAATTCTTATTTTCTTTTCTTTCTTTCTCCAGCTCATTTATTTTTACTTTTTAATCTACGAAATTTCCAGACATGAATTCAATAGTTTTACATATATCGAGGTTTGTTGTTTGAACAAGTTCATTTCATCGTGTAATGTGCTAAACTTTGAGTTAATTAGTTCAAACAATTCCTTTTTAATGGTATTTAAAGAATCGCTCAAATGCTCTTCAGAAGATCGTTTCCTTTTAAATCGAGTAGTAATATTCGGTTTACCTTGAGCACTAACTTCACTTATAGAATTAGTGTCAGAGTCCGATTGAACTTGTTTTGTGGATGGAGGAGTACGCTGGATTTTACTTATACAAAACTCGCTAAAGCTTAGGAAAAATGGCAGATCTTCAATGATGCTATCATATACACCTAGTGTAGTAGTGTAAATATCTCCCAAAATACTAAAGATACGAAGAAAACGATATAGTACTAAATTGTAGCTCTATTAATGACAAAAATTTCCCTGTGTACAGATTTTTTGTACAGTGAATATTCGGCGAGATATAGCCGTTTAACACCTACATTTACGATCGAACATCACCTTATTCAAGCGCTTTAAACTCTCACCATTTAAAAATTAAGGGATCTTAAGGGAATTTAATTCACATAGTCTTATAGCTCCTGAAAAGCCCTACAAAATCGTTTCAGAAAAAAAATTTAAATCAATTTTTTTTCGAAAAATTCGAATAAATCGGCTTCGAAAAAAAATTAGATGCTGGTAGGTTCGGAGCGCAGTACTCTACATAACCGGTATATTAGGCCGTTATACGTTATATGTTCCACTTTTTCGATTCTTATTGGAAGACAGAGAAGAAGAAACATTTGCTCACATGTATGCGTGTGTGAGTGTATATTTCGTTGATTTCTCACCAGTGTATTCTAAAGTTCGAAGACAGTGGCACGTGCTCTGACAATGTCAATGTTTTCAAGGGTAGTTTTTAACCAGGGTAGGTTGAAAGATTATGAAATTGTATCCTAAAGCATGAAACAATCATTATTTAACTATTTTACCCATATTTAGGTTTTTAATGTTAATTTATAATTTTTGAAAATAAAGGGTAGTGTTCACCCCTAAAAAACAAAAAGCGTACAACGGCACAATATAGAAAATGAACTAGAGGGTGAAATAAGCCTAATCCCAAATTTTTGTAAAAATCGGTGCTGGACGAAAAAATTGCGAGCTTTTACCATTTTTTTAGCTTCATTTCCTGGACGGAATACGGAACATCCACGGAACATCGCTCTCTCTACCCGCAGATATCCTTTCGGCGTTTTTTTTTAATGTATACCAACATGTAAAGTACGCGCGCTCTATCTTGGCCGGGCTGAAGTTAGTCGGGAGTGGCTACGCTGACATAGATTTTAGTTTTAGGAACAAAATGGTAACAAGAAGCTAGGTCGGTGGACGGTAACTAAACTTAGAGATGCGGATACGCATATTACGCTGTTAGAATTACGTAAATACTCGATTATGGTTATTATCGATCATCATTCGATTTTATTTTATATTGATCATGGCTCATTGGTGTATTAATATAACATGTCGTTTTAAATACGTGATTATGATGATATGCATTAAAATTTTATTAAAAAATTTAAATTTATATTATTTTGGGGTTACTGAAAGAATTTATTGTCCCCGCTAATATCATTCATTATGCATTTACTGTTACTTATATTCAAAAATGTTATCGTTATTTTTATGAGACATTATTGTTTTATCGAAATACATAAAGATATTTTCTTTGTAATAATAAATTTCAATTTATTCTGTAGTTGATAAAGACGAAGGTAGGCGAAGTATAGGTAGTGTAGAGCGTCCCTTTACTAGATGGAGTGACGACCTGGAAAGACATGCAGGAAGTCGATGGATGCAGGTAGCTCAGGACCGTGCTTTGTGGCATTCCTTGCGGGATACCTATGTTCAGCAGTGGCCTAGTGACGGGCTGTAATGATAATGATGATGATGATGACGCAGGGATACAACATACCACTGAATATTTATTCGTTTTCTATTCTTAAATCATTTGACTTTTATATCGCACTCGTCTAGAATTGATCAATTACAAAATGTATATTACCTGTAGACATGGAGCTTGTGGAATCACAATAATTTGCAAACGCTTATCAGACTCATTGCCATCCGACAATAAATCTAATTTTCCCGAGATAATTACACTGTTGCTGTTTTCTTTGCCCTCCTCTCCAGTGTTGATTAATCTTAAACAAGATATAAAATTAAACATTTTTACAGCCGACTTCAGTATAAATAAAATGAGACAAAAAAAAACATCATTAATGTAGTCGTACTCAATTAAATAGGTATTATTAAGGATAACTCAAAAACTACTGTTCATATCTTGATCAAATATGTATATGGAATATATTTATGTATATGGGACCACATGAGAAGCACAAGCTTTCAAATAAAAAAGAGAATCATCAAAATCGGTTCACCTTGAAAAAGTTCTGAGGTAACACACCAAAAAAATACAGTAGAATTAAGAACCTCCTCCTTTTTTTAAAGTCGGTGGTAAAATAAAAAAACAGTCTAATGGTTAACTTTAACTTAGTTTAGATCTATACCAGGATAATGCTAAGTACAAAAATTACCATTTAAAAACGTTATAATATATAAATAGGAAAAAGTAATTTAAATAAGGTAGAAAAATTATTAATAAGTAAAAGTGAACTTTGTACATGTTGATGAATAATTCTAAGGAAGAAATATTTCTATTTTCATCATATGGAATGGTATCTTTAATTGAAGAAACAAAAACACGTTAATATGTATGTTACGGCCTACGGCTGCTCCCTTAAAGGATCAGATCCTCAGGGGCCCATGAGCTGAAGACTTCCCGAGCAGACGTAGGTCGGGCCTCCTAAGGCCACGTGGAATCTCTCTAATTACACTAAAATATATGGGGGAGCGTTATACTACGGCCAGTCGACCGGAAGGAATTTGGACGAAGCTTACTTACCTCTATCCAAGGCAACTGGTCCCTCCGGAGTCGGTCAGGTCGCATGTGGTTGTGTAGTGCAAGGGAAAGAATGGTGATGTGGTGTGTATCTGGGTGTGACTGATGGTGATTGAACCTAGACCTTAGCCGTCGGCAGCAGCCCGAGCGTCGACACCGCTCCAACTTGAGGGGGCCTTTCGAGGTTATCCACAGTCACTTTCTTCTTTCGTCACGTTGACAGTCAATTAACTCTATCGTACGATTTACTAACTTACAGAAGCCACTAACTATCGCTGGTTATAAGGTTAACACACAAAACGCACACGGAGTTTACAGTTTATTAAAGGTCACTACCGTTTCGCGTTGCAACAGTTATTTCCAGAATATCAGAGGCCGCACTAGCTAATATTGTCGAACTCACTTATACAGATTCTGAGTCGGTCCCGGGAAGCTCTCCAGCAGGAATGCGCGTCACAAATCCTAGACCGTATATTTACGGGCCGCACCTAATTATTCCGAGTTCCCTAACAGAATGGACCGCGTACTCACGTCAGCACCGATTAAAGACGACTGATTGCCCTTGGGCGTTTTTCGCACGACCGAAAGTCAAACCGGTATGAATGCACCGCGCCGAGCGCCCTCTCGCGTCAATCCTTGAAAGTGTTTTGCGCGAACAAACCCCCGTCCCGGACATAAGGATTTAGGGCCGCGAGCAAACCGGTCAGCGGGACAAGGTCGCAAAGGCAAGTTCCAAGACCGAATCTACAACCAAACTAGGCCACCTTAGGCACCCCATCAGATCTTGCAACCCTAACCAGCGCCTCAAAAAATAGCCCTAATGTGGCAAGCCGGAGGGTCAGCCTCCACTGGATGCCCCTCCTGGGCATCGCAGCACTTTAACAAGTCCTGTACTGGACAGAAGTCCGACGACCTCTTTCAAACACCTATCTGTGCCCCTATGATTAGTTCCGCAATCCGACCGGATCAGCTCTGCTAACAGCGACGCGACACGAAGCGGCCCCGAGCGGCCTCCTAAGCTTCAGTGCAGAGAGCACCCACAAATTCCACATGAACGTCGTCTGTGGAGAGCCGAACGAAACGCACAAATAGTCCCTAGTATGAATTTTCAACAAGTAGGCCTAGCCAGGCCACCCACCATATTATCATTTACTAAAATAGTGCGGCAGCTGATTTCAATCTGATAATCTCCAAAACTAGCTAGCCTGTTAGGCAAGTAGTCCTATGCTCATATTTCAACTAATTTTTCAAAAGCATCAATGTTCAACTACAGAATTAATTCAACCAAATTAATCACCGATGCGCATAGGTCAACTTGCAATTTAAACAAAACAATAACGTAAGGGACAGCCCCACTTCTTCGCAAAGCAGAATGATTAAACACTATCATAAACATAAACATAATTTTTCAAATAGTGCGCCATTCACTTTCAGATGAATTCAAATTTTCCTTTCGGCAAACAGACGCAACAATCAAATACAGTGATTAAATATATTTACAAAACACATGCAGTAGCATTTAAAGGGGTAGATTAAATTCAATTCTTTTAATTTAAACCGCTACAAATAGGAAAGCGGAAAGCCCAAAGCAGTTTTTAATTTTAATTCAAGTATTTTTTTTTTTACTAAGTGCTCGACCAAACCAAATCTAATACCCCTTGACAGCGTGATTCAACGCTCCAGGGGGGCCCTAATCTTCCCACCACCAAGGGGAGGCCACATGGCGTGAACCCGAGATCGATAGAGTGCGACTGCTAACAGTCGCCACACGGGTTGTAAGCCTCACTGAGGACGTCGGCAACAGAACACCTTGACAAGTGGACTGTTGACGGCTCAAGGCTCAGTGGAGGCGGCCGTGGTGGGAGCTAAGGCGGCAGCTAGCAAGGGCCGCCTCCATCAAATGGGGAACAGTGGTACACCAGTCGCGGCCACTCAGCTAACGGGAGTGAGAAGGGTCCAGCGGACCGATGAGTGGCCGTGAAGTTCCTCTCCACACGCTGAGGGGGGGCGATGACACCCCCGCCCCTGGGGGAATTACCCCCCGACCGGTCTGGGGAGGGACCCCTTTCAAACTTAGGGGCCTGATGGCTGGCCGGCGGGCGCCGAGAGTCGCCCGGCAGAGGGCGTGGCTGAGCGCCCCCGCCCGTGGGGGTCGAGGGCCTGGCAGAGCCCCGAGAGGAGACGCCGTTCGCACTCAGGCACAAAACGGCATGATGATTGCCCTGGCAATGCAGACAGGGCCGCCGATGCGGACAGTCTCGCTGGAGGTGTCCTCCCAAACATGAGCAGCACCAGCGGCGCTCCTTGGCGATAGTTCGCCTCGCTGGAACCGGCTTACCTAATAATTTCGGGCACGACGTTACCCGGTGAACAGATGCTCGACAATAGGAGCAGGGGGGGTTGACGACGACTTGCCTGGAGGATTCAGCCTCTCACTGGGCACGGCTCGTAAGTCGTCAACGGTGCCCGCCGCGCTCTCTATCTGCCGGCACTGCTCCTCCAAAAACCTCAGCAGGTCATAGAAGGGCGGAATATAGGAGGCCTCGTCCCCGCCGTACCTCTCCTCAAAATGGATTCGAAGGTCGAGAGGTAGACGGGACAGCACGATGCGGAGCAACAAAAAAGCCCATTCGCCCACTGGTAAATCCAGCCGCCTCAACGTATTACAGGCCACCAAGACTGGATCCAACAGGTCCGGACGCAGTCTGGCCCGGTCACTAAGCAGCGGGAGGCTTAGAAGCTGCTTAACATGTTCGTCAGCAATTCGCCGGACGTTGGCGTATCTTCTGGCTAGGAGGTCCCGAGCAGTGTGGTAGGCGTCGTCCGACAATCTCAAGTGGCCGACGACGCCCAGGGCCTCCCCCTCCAGTGATGCCAGGAGGTACGCCATCTTTTGGCTCGGGGTCAGGTCACTCCGGGCGTCCACTAGGCTGTCGAAAAGACCAACGAAGGTCAGCCATTCGGAAAGGACCCCGGAGAACTTTGGCAGGTCCAGAGTTGGGAGTCGTTCCAACAGCTCCGGCTGAAGCTGCTTCAGAGAGGACTCGGACAAGTCACTCATCCGAGCTTCACGCGCCTCCTCGGCATGCCTGCCTTCAGCCTCGATCAACTCGTCCGTGAGCCACAAGAACTGCTCATAGTCCGCGAAGCAGGAGTCCAGGACTCCCTTCTCCACATCCGAATCCTCGAGCTCAGCGTAAGCCTCCTCCACTGCGGCCCTTCGAGCATCCACCTGCTCGAACCGCTTCATCAAGTTATGGACCCTATCCGGTCGACCTATCAAAGCATGGGCGCTTGTGGCCCAGCGTAGCTCAGCCCGCAAACAACGGATCAGTAGCTTGGGCGATGTCATCACTATTAAATGCAAATTACGACGCGGCTTGAGCACAGATTACAAAGATAACAAACAAAAAATACAACAAAAATTAACAGTTAATAAATGCAGTTCCTGTCAAATCGCGTTGAATAGAAATTACACAAATACGAATTACTACGTATCAACCAAATAAAAGTTAGCACAAAAGAAAAGACACAAATCAAATTAACAAATAATAAATACTAGTGCGATCAAATCAAGTTAAATTCAAATTGCGCAAATACAATTACTACTCTTTAGTTCAAATACAACTTACAGTATAAACGAAGATACACATCACGGTCGATCAACAAAAAATGCCTAGCTCGGAAATCGACCCTTCGATAAGTAATCCACTACAACTATCCGACAACGATAATTAACCGATTACGTAAAAATAACCATCTACCTACATGACGTATATCTCTAGAAAACTCCCGCTTGCGCAATCTAGGGCGCGGCTTTTCAAATCTACCCACTAACCAAAAAAAGGCAAGCAACAAAGAACAAAGGGAAATAATTCTATTATTACGTACAAAAAAATATTTTTACGTATTACGGACGGGCGTGATTGTAGATACAAATTAAACCAATCACACCAACGCTCCCTGCCACCAAATTGTTTAATGTTTATCTAGCACTATGGTCGGGATCGACCGGGGAATCGAACGCGGAACCGCGCCCTGCTACCAGTTTGTTACGGCCTACGGCTGCTCCCTTAAAGGATCAGATCCTCAGGGACCCATGAGCTGAAGACTTCCCGAGCAGACGTAGGTCGGGCCTCCTAAGGCCACGTGGAATCTCTCTAATTACACTAAAATATATGGGGGAGCGTTATACTACGGCCAGTCGACCGGAAGGAATTTGGACGAAGCTTACTTACCTCTATCCAAGGCGACTGGTCCCTCCGGAGTCGGTCAGGTCGCATGTGGTTGTGTAGTGCAAGGGAAAGAATGGTGATGTGGTGTGTATCTGGGTGTGACTGATGGTGATTGAACCTAGACTTTAGCCGTCGGCAGCAGCCCGAGCGTCGACACCGCTCCAACTTGAGGGGGCCTTTCGAGGTTATCCACAGTCACTTTCTTCTTTCGTCACGTTGACAGTCAATTAACTCTATCGTACGATTTACTAACTTACAGAAGCCACTAACTATCGCTGGTTATGAGGTTAACACACAAAACGCACACGGAGTTTACAGTTTATTAAAGGTCACTACCGTTTCGCGTTGCAACAGTTATTTCCAGAATATCAGAGGCCGCACTAGCTAATATTGTCGAACTCACTTATACAGATTCTGAGTCGGTCCCGGGAAGCTCTCCAGCAGGAATGCGCGTCACAAATCCTAGACCGTATATTTACGGGCCGCACCTAATTATTCCGAGTTCCCTAACAGAATGGACCGCGTGCTCACGTCAGCACCGATTAAAGACGACTGATTGCCCTTGGGCGTTTTCCGCACGACCGAAAGTCAAACCGGTATGAATGCACCGCGCCGAGCGCCCTCTCGCGTCAATCCTTGAAAGTGTTTTGCGCGAACAATGTATTTTTTTCAGTAAGGTGATTATGTATACTATTGACTGTTTTTAATATAAGTAACATCACTTACTTGAAAGCTAAACCTTTGATAAGCAGTCGACCAACTTGTAGTGGGGTCAATGAAAATGTCAGTCTTTTGTTGCATTCCCCTTCTAAAAGACATGAGGCTATTTTTTGTCTGAAAATGACGTTACTCTCTAATGTACGTCCTGATGCTAAGAAAGGCTCATTGTTAAGGATGTCCTTGGGACCTTCGGTTTCTCCTGTATCTGGTATGAATTGCCAGAGCAATTCCAGATCTTTTAGAAGCAACGGTATCTTTAAGGGATTTGTTAACGTAAGTGTAATTTGTACAGGTTCTGAAACAAAACAAATTTAGTTGAAAAATGGAACGGAATGTTTTGATTTTTAATACATAGATTACAATCACGAAAAACCAGAACACATTTTTCTAAGTTATATAAATATTTTTCCGTGCGAGAACCATGCTTCTGGCAACTGTGTGCTACTCAAGTGACTCATATCGCTCACTCAATATTTTTTTTGGTCAGAGGAGCAACATCGCAGCTACTTTGTAACTCTGTTGTCGTAGTAGGCTAATCTCCATTAGCGAATAATGACAGCTGTTTACTCGTAAAAGGCCAGCGATGGCACCCTGCCCTGATATTGGCGAAATACTAGTTGATCTTTAAATTTAAGTCCCCACACATCGGATTATGTGCACATGTCACATGTCACATTTCGTCCCTTAGCTTACAACACCGCTCATGTCGAAAATTGGCGGTTTTCACATTTGAATGCCTTTAGATGGAGCCGCTCATTGCGCGTCTAACCATTGGCCACATGATATAGATTTTAGCTAATCAGAAGTAGTAATTCGAAAAGTAGTGACAGCGCGCAAGTCGGTTGGCCTCTCAACACCGCACAAGTCGTTAATCTGTCATACTTATCTTAGTTAATTACTTCGCGCTCCGTGATTATTATATTTTTATACGAGTTTTATCGCTGAAAGGTCTATGTAAGAAGTTTTAATAAAAGATTAAGAGGTAAGCTATATAATAAAGTAATGTTTATTGATTTACACATATTAATATAGAAACAAATGATAATAAAAATCTTCGTTTACTTAAGCGGTGTTTACTAACTTTCTTTTTTAACTTAGGCGGTGTTTCAAAATGTGTTTTATTTCTTTTAGGAAGCTCAATAATTGAAATACACTATGAATGGAGAAGAAATTGATTTCTGGAGTGATCCAAGTTCAGGTGATGAATTGTTATGTGCACAATTACAAGAATCAGGACTGATGTCAAAATATAAACGGCGTAAACAAAGTTGCAAAGAAGATAGAACAAGAATTAGACTAGATTAGTAGTATAGGTTTGTTTTGAGGTCCGCATTTATTTTTCTGTTAAATGCAATAATTCCTATAATTTTTTTTAGATTTGAATCAAAAAGACAACACTAGTTCTTCTGTAATCAAATCATGCAATTCTCCTAATAAATACAAAACTATTAGAACACCAATAAACGAACAAAACTTCGGGGTGTCCATGAAAATTATTATAAGTAGCCAGGACAATGTAAAAAAAATATTTGATCAAAACATAGACTTGGATATTGAAAACACTGGCATTAACAATCTACAAGTTATAGAAATAGTTGGTAATGACTTCTTTGATCTGCAACAGGAACCACCCGAATTCGATACTGTGGCCATTGAGTATCCTCAGCCTTCTATATTGAATATTGCCAATATCACGGTAAAAAGTGAGAACGTTGTACAAGAACTAGGAAATATTGTCGCTAATATAAATCCTATAAAATTAAATCATTATTGCGTATTTTTCCCTACTTCAAACCAAGACATTCTCGTATCTACGAATACTCAAGACCCAATTTCTGATATAGTCATTGATAATGAAAACAATACTCAATGTACAGATAAAAATAATATAAGCCAGAACCATATGTAGCAATTCAGTGCCTCTGCTACTCCATCGTGTTCTTCAAAAGTGGTCATACTCAGTAATGTTCCATATCACGGTGATTTGTTAAGTCATAAAAAATGACAGAACAAGGCGACAAAAGATCCAAAGAAATATAAACGCAATGTTAATAAAGAATTACGGATGAAAGGTGAAAATTATTTAGGATACAGAAGAGACAGAAAAGCAAAGACTAATGAAAAATTTAAAGTGAAACATGACGTATTTAAGCCTGCAAGATCCATGAAACCACCGTGCACTTCTGCGTTTTGCAAGAAATCGAAACTCAGCAATATTTGTTTGAAAATTTCTGGAGGAACATGAACTGGGAGCAACGAAGATCATTTATAACTTCTCACGTTAATAAAGTACCAAAGAAAATTACAAAAAATCCAGAATCATCCAAAAGAACTGATAGTCGAACTTACGTTTTGACTGTTGATAATGTACGTCACCAAGTCTGTAAAAAAATGTTCTTCGCCACCCTTGGCATTAAAGATTGGTTTGTCAGATATTGGCTGACAAAAACAGACTGTCCCATGCCTCCCGATATATCTACTTCAACCAGTAATCACAGAAATCCAGAGAAAATTAAAGACCACAAATATGTTGAAAAGTTTCTAGCAGGTCTTCCAAAGATGCCGTCGCATTACTGTCGTGCTAAAACATCAAGAGAATATTTAGAACCAATTATATCGAACATGACACAGCTCTATCACACATATAAAGAGAATTGTGAGTTAGAGGGTAGAGAATGACTTGGCCGTAAATTATTTGACAAATTGTTTTTGAAACTCAATCTGAGCTTATTCCACCCGAAGAAAGATCAGTGTGACGTTTGTTGTAGTCATAAAACTGAAAACATTACCGATACAGAATACGTTCAACATGTTTTGAAGAAAGATCGAGCCAGGAAAGAGAGAGATACTGACAAAGGCATTGCACAGTCCGGAGCTTGTCACGTATTCACGCAGGATGTTGAATCGGTCAAATTGGCCCCATAATGTAATATGCGTCCATAATTTTACATTATACAATTTAGCAACTAAGGAAGTAATGTGTTATTGGTTCGATGAGTCAAATAGCACGCTTGAAGCCTCCGTTTTTGCTTCATGCTTAGTAGACCATCATTCGATTTTAAGGTTTTGAGTCAGAAATTATTGCCTGTGATTTTATATTCCGATGGCTGTTGTGCTCAAAATCGCAATGTTATCTTAAGCAATGCTTTATTACGTTTAGCGTTTGAAAAAAATATTGTGTTTACTCAAAAGTAACTGGAAAAAGGCCATACACACATGCAATGTGATTCCGTACACAGTGCAATAGTGTGTAAATTAAAAGGTAAAGATATTTACCTTCCACAACAGTACATGGCTATAACTAAAACAGCTAGGAGTGATCCTATGCCTTACGAAGCTCGTTATTTGGACTATACCTTTTTTACCGACTTTTCGAAAGAATTAATTTATAAATCTATACGGCCTGGTAAAAAGACAGGTGACCCAGTTGTCACAGATGTACGTATGCTAGAATACAGACCAAATGGCATAATTTGGTATAAAATTGATTTTGATGACGAGCTTCATTCGTTACCACATCGTCCCTCCGTTACCACATCGTCCCACGCCAATCAACAGTATTAAACAAATAAATCACCTGCAGAAATTGTATGCAGCTAGAATACCAGTTACAAAGCGGAAGTATGAAAATTTGCAAGACCTAAAAAGTGTATTACCATATTCTAGTTGCCACTCTTTTTATGATGAGCTTCCGCACAGCAGTCGCTAAAGACTGCAACTAACTATTAGACTAGAGATTTCGAGTATTATTTTTTATTTTTATAATTTTAATACTATTATATCTTGTTTCGTTGGAGTTTGTTAAAGACTATGTTTTAAATATTTACCTATTAAAATTAAAATAAAAAATTGCACTTACGCTCTAAGAGTTCACGTGTCACCAAATAACTTTAAGCAATTGATCTCAAGAATGTGATTCTTAAGATTTAGGTTATAGATACCTATGTTATAACGATTTTTAATCAGTCTTGAAATATTTCTTAATAAACTCTTCTTTGTCAATCATCTATTAATACCTTATTCCCTAACATTTCTGCAAACAACACCGCCGTAATCTAATAAAATATCTGTCAACACAGCTCAAGTCATAAAATAAAAGTTAAAATAAAATAAATAGCCAAAATAAGTATACATAATTATTTCTTAACCGCTAACTAGAGTTTTTATTAAGTAACAACAGAAAAATTCCGCCGATTTTTTAAAATAGAGTTTTTTTCGTCTCCTGTAAAGTTGGTAAAAATGACTTAAGCGGTGTTTTAGCTAAGGGACGATTTGTAGACCCCTCATAACAATTCCTTATTAAATTACGAGAATTAAGATTATACGAGAAATAAATTAAGAGAATTTACTTCCACGGGTTAATAATGAATGATTCGTTTATTTTACCCGGGTCGCATCAAGTATCAATCAATACTTGAATGATCGAGTTAATAGAAATGAATGAATGACACACATCTAATTAGAACTACGTTGGTTTCGCAGGTCGATGTAGTACTTGACAGAGCGTGTAGATGGCGCTGTTGCAGAATTATTTTGTAGCGGGTGGAAGGAAAAGGGGAGATCTCCCGCCGGGCAAGGTGTTCTGCCCGGGGAGCGGCCAACGCTCCGAATGGTAGTTCGGAGCTATTCTATATATATTGCTTTAATTTCGGAACTTTGTTAGCGCGATTTAGGCTTCGATGTGTTTCGCTTGTGGCGCGACGACAGCGCCGCCACATCACCCCCCTGCTCAGACCGGAGGTCGATAGTGCAGTCCGATTGCCGGGTGCGTCCTTAATGCCGGTGGGGAATGCACGCTGTGTGCGTAAGGGCAAGTGACGCCGGTGCGAACGATATGCCGGTGTGTAATGCATGCCGTACTACGCACTTGCAAGTGATGCCGGTGAGAACGATGAGCCGGAGCAAGTGCCAGGGATTGCCTTGTAGTCTGCGGTGAGTCGAGAAGAAGGCAAGTAATCTGCGAGTGCCGTGAAGCAGAGGCGAGCAGTAAGACTCAGAGCCGTGCCGAACACTGTAGCGCAGAGAGTAGCTTGAAGGAACAGGAAGCATTATTATTCCAGTGCTGCGATGAACCTTTTTGTAAAGCTAGATGGCTTGCAGAATGTGAAGACTGCAGACAATGTCTGCTCGGGAGCGAATGAATGGGGTACTTACGGATGATGAAGGTTTGAAATTGTAGTTTCCGAAGATTGTTGGTTGCGTGTTCATATCACGACGGTTGGTCACCACTGTAGCGGGTGGAAGGAAAAGGGGAGATCTCCCGCCGGGCAAGGTGTTCTGCCCGGGGAGCGGCCAACGCTCCGAATGGTAGTTCGGAACTATTCTATATATATTGCTTTAATTTCGGAACTTTGTTAGCGCGATTTAGGCTTCGATGTGTTTCGCTTGTGGCGCGACGACAGCGCCGCCACAATTTCATTTGTCAAATTTGTTTTAAAATATTTGCCAATTTACTTGAAAATCTCTAAATTGAAAGTATTCACCTGTTGATCAGCGTTCGGGAAACTACGACACATTTTCTCGTTAGACATACCTCAAAACCTCAAAATTAAATTGTACAACCAGTGCGTGTTGCCAGTGATGACTTACAGATTTGAGACATGGTCGTTCACTGCTGGCCGTATGAGAAAGCTCAAGGTCGCTCAGCGAGCTATGGAGAGGGCTATGCTCGGGATTTCTTTGCGTGATAAACTTAGAAATGAGGATATCCGCAGTAGAACCAGAGTAACCGACATAGCCCAACGGATTAGTAAGATGAAGTGGCAGTGGGCCGGCTATATAGCTCGAAGAACCGACAACTGGTGGGGAAGAAAGGTTCTCAAGTGGCAGCCTCGTACCGGTAGGCGAAGTGTAGGGCAACCCCCCACTGGAAGGAGTGACGACCTAGAAAGACATGCAGGAAGTCGATGGATGCAAGTGGCTCAGGATCGTGCTTTGTGGCATTCCTTGGGGGAGGCCTATGTTCAGCAGTGGATCTGTTGATTTTGTATCTATCTATTGATTTTAAGGTACTATGTTGTTTTTCCTAATTAAATAATTATGTAACAGCGCTATCTATACGGTGTGGCAAGTACTACATCGAACTGTGAGGCCGACGTAATCTATTCAATGGAGCTGTTACTAATCCCGCATAGATTCCATATATTAGTTGACAAGGCCTGATTTTGAGGATAAAAAAGTATATTGTTGACCTTGACCTGACCACAGGTCTGACGGAGTTGATCCGATACAAAGTTGGGATCTGTTTACAAAACAAAGAAGTAGAGTATTGTCGACCGCTCGCAGTCGACTGAGTTACGGAAAATTAACCGTACTTACTGCGCAATGTAGTGAGGCTGCAGAGACCGTCTAGTAGTATACATAGGTGTTTGAGTAGAGGGTAATGACAAAAACTGACCTCCCTGCGGCACGATGGGGTTGGCGTCGGTGCGCTCGGTGTAGAGGTCGACGGTGGGCTTGAATATCATGGGCGGGGCGCCTTGCGCGGCGTGCAGCAGCATGAGCTCGAGGCGCTGCCAGTGCGCGGCGTGCGCGGCGCGCGCGGCGGGCGGCGCGGCGGCGGCCACGCGGCCGGCCGCGCCCAGCGGCGCCGGGCCCGCGCACGCCACGCGCGTCTCGCCGCGCCGCGCCAGCGGCACCGGCACCACCGGCAGCCGCTCCGAGAACTCCTCGCTGCTCTCGATCCATTGCTGCCGGACAATCGCGACTTCAGCTCTTGTCCCACTACAGCGGCTCATACTATCAACCTATGTTTTTACGTCAACCGCTCCAAGACTCACTGCTCTCTATCCATTGCTGCCGGACGATCGCAACTTGAGGACTCGCCCCATTACAACGGCTCATACTATGAACGTACGTTTTTATGATATATTATGGTTGTAGCATGAATGGATAGACTCGAACGGAGAAGGACCACGCTCTCACATCACAGACTATTAGCGTAAAATAGCAGCCTTATGCCGCTGTGATTCGTATAATGAGTGTAGAGAACCGGAGACCTCTTTTACTGAAAATGAGGCATTCCATCTTAGTTGTCAGGGATGACAACATATCTGCATTTTGATTCTTGATCGAGGTTAGATGCAGACGTCCATGGGCCACAACGAGCAGGTGAACTGTGTACATGTTTGTCACCCTTATTCTATAATATTGCAACATATCAACCTGACCACTAAAAATTACAATTTATCGATTAAACACATGCTGCTATTACGCACATAACTATGTACTGTAGCATCACGAGTGCGAGCGAGGCAGACAGACAAAAAATATGAATAGACGACGAGTAAACGCCCATTAGACGTGTAATGCGTGATTGACGATTGCATGAAATTGATTGACAAATATCTGGATATTTTGATTTTTACGTCAATCAACTATCAGTCATGAATTTTAATTGAACGTGTAATGGCATTTCGTCAATCACGCATCGTTGTTCCTAGCTTTTCTTCGAGAGTTATAGCTTTTCGCATACATGTATCTTGTTTAAGGTATGATGTTACCGAGACCATTAACTTATCAAAATAAGCCTCTTTCATACGAAAATAATTTGCATAGTCTTTATCCTCTTTTGAAACCCGTATGTCAATACGTTAATATGGGTATAGAAATCCCTTTTTAAAAGCCAGTGTTTTACCCAGCACCTTCTTTTTATATAAATATCCATTCTTTCCGTCTGAAATTTTTTGGGTTTGACTGACGATCAGTCAGAATATGAGCGTGTAATGTCGAAATTATTATATCATTCAAGTATCAATCATGATTGATCGTACTGATTGACGCTTGGCTAGGCGTGTAATGGGCGTCTAAGATGTAAAGGGGCGGAACATAGCGTACCTGGTGCGCCAGCATGTACTCGCGCAGGAAGGCGGCCTGCTGCGGCGGCGGCTGCGGCGAGGCGGGCGCGAGCGGCGCGGCCAGCCAGCGCGGCGCCGCGCCCCGCCGCAGCGCGCCCGCCAGCCGCCCCAGCGCGAACTGCACGTGGTCCGTGGCCAGCCGCCACCCGCTGCCCGTGTACACCTTCCCCATAGTAAACTTAAGTTATGCTCTATTTACGTCGCTTTTCACAATAGTCTGTTCCGAAGCTGAAAGCTTCCAAAATGAAAGTCTAGATAGAATCATCATCATCATTATCAAAGACCACTGCTGAACTCAGAAAATTATCATATTTTATTAGCTATATTTACTACGCTTGGCAGATAGGTTGGCAACCGCGGTGTTTTATTGTCTTGTTATTTGAAAGATGCTGTCGCCTCCTGGCCTGTTTCCTTCGGTTGCCTCTTATTACACCCACGGGACGATATGGGGTAGTGGTTCTTACACCGCTACTACATGGCCTGCATAAATAGAAATAGAAACTTTTTTATTCAATATAGCTTATAAATAATACTTATTGAATGTCATTCTTATGTTTAAAAAAAAGAACAGTTTACAGTCATATATATAATGTTACACAATTAACTACACAAAATAAATTAGAACTGGCTTGGTAGCGACCACCTCATTTCCAGGGGCTATTGTCATCCATAAATTCCTTAATATTATATTAACCCTTTTTATACAATCTTTCTTTAATAAAGTTTTTAAACTTGGCGGAGGACAAATTTTGTAAATTTTCTGGGATTTTGTTGTAAAATGGTATACATTGCACTCAAAAATGAATTACTGTGTGGAGTCCAATAACTGGTACTACTAGCTTGTGTTTGTTCCTAATATATACTGAGTAAATATCACTTTGTTTTTAAATTACTTATATATATATATATATATATATATATATATATATATGTTATTTTTGTCGCCAAACCACACACATGTTTTTATTGTTTTCTTGCAATCCTGTCCATTCAAAGGTTTTCTGGAAAAGATCGCTCTTAGCGATAAGATCGCCCATTGTACCACATATCTTTGCTTTTTTTCTCTTATTTTGTTCATATTTATGTTTTTTTTTTTGGCGTACAATAGTGTTATCTATCTATCTATCTATCTATTTTTCTTGTGTAAAGTCAAAGGTCAAAATGAATATATTAATTTCCTTAAATTTTTGACTTAGAAATTATTTACGTTTTAAATCATAGATTACTCTTATGGCCCTCTGCTGCGAAACAAATATAATTTTAGCGTCAGTCGCGTGCCCCACAGCAAAATACCATACGACATTATGCTATTAAAAGAAACTAGTCTAGCTGTTTCACCACTGGTAGATTTCAAATTTTTTTACAGCATATGGTGCAGAACTAAGTCTGCTTGCTAATTTAGATATATGGGACCCCTTGTATATTTTAAATTACTTGACAGCCTTTATACGTCCGACAACTGAGCACAGGCCTCATTTACATTTAAAATGGTTATGAAAAAACAAATAACAATTTAATTAGTGCCAGGGCATCGAATCCGGGTTACTCCTAAACTAAGAAATTTTCGACAAGTTCTTAACCCCTTGAGGTACCACGGCTCTATTAATATTATATTTGTAGGTCGATATCGACGACATCCGGAATAATTTATGAATAAGCTATTTTCAGAGTAGTATGTGTTACAAAGCTGAGAAAATATTCTATACATGCCCACAAGATCATAAGTATCTCACAGAAATAAAATAATAAAATATGATAAAGCAAAATAGCAAGCAACAGTGTACCTGATAAGCTTGGTGGTAGCATCTGTAGGCATGTTTCTTCTGTCCGGCTTTTGAGAATCTGTGTCCAGCGAGGACCATGTGGAAAGCGTACTTTCTGCACATGACTTTAGTGCCCGGTCCTGAGAGGAAGCAAAGAGCAGCCTGTTCTAACAGCATTGCGCTACGCAAGTCACTGTCTTCTGAAGTCATACGAATTAGTTGTTTAGCAGCTTCCCCATGGAGCCCAGAGTTTATCAGACACAAGGCTGAGAGTAAAGTAGCTCTGACAGCGTATTGCACCATTCTGAAAGTTAAATAATAATTTTGGATTCAGTTATAATAGTGGGTAAGCAAGGAAGTTTAGCCACGATATTATGCTTGCACAATAGAGGGTAGTCATTTTACAACTTTAACACTTTCACTGTCCGGTTTCCTGACACAATAATAAGATAGATCGACGGCTCCGTGGCGCAGTGGCTTTGCAATCAGTTGTTGCGCTGGGGGCCGCGGGTTCGAATCCCGCACGGAACAAGTATATTGTAATATTTGTCCTTGTGCAATTTATGTTTGTAAACTGCCTCCACGACACAGGAGAAAATCCTAGTGTGGGGGTAACGTTTTTTAAAAAAAAATATAATAGCACTACCATATGTGGCTCATGGGAATGAATGAATGAATGGGTTAACAGTGTGATTAAGAATATGCTAAAGTTTTTATTTCTTGAGAAATTTGCCCATCAAATACGTAATTTGCGTCTCTACAGCTCGCCATAACCCTATGGTGGAGGTGGATTGGCGAGCTATAGACACCAATAATAATACTTAACGTAACACAAATCAAACTAGTTAGTAAATGGTATTTATTATATAATCTTTTTTTTTTATAGAATAAGGGTGACAAGCGAGCGCACAGTCCACCTGATCGCAAGTGGTTGCTGCGGCCCATAGACGATTTAAAATGCAGATACGTTGTCAGCCGTGAGGACTACGATGGAATGCCTCATTTCCAGTAAAAAGGGTCTCCGGTTCTCTATACTCACCATACGAAACACAGGAGCATTAAGCTGCTATTTTACGCTGGTATTTTGTGAGAGCGTGGTCCTTTCCCGGTTGAGCCGACCTATTCGTGCTACAACCATAATATAGCTGCAGCTTGGCTCTACCACGTAAATGGTAAATGGATTGTAATGTTGTGTTAAAAAAGATGAGCTTGCTAACGCTACCTGTAGTTACGCACATGGTGCGTGCTATATTCATCACAACTACAAGTAGTGTACACCCGCCTTCGTGAGTTAAAACGTCTATATCCGTTCAGCATTGTAAGTATAGTCAAACCTTTCAAGTTATGTAGTTATGTCAGGTAACGAGTTTTTCGACGAGTTAACAGAAAGCGCGAGCTTATGCAAACAGTCAAAATGAGAAAAGTCGCATTTTTGGGGCACGTGCTCAGGCACGGGAGGTACGAACTCCTAAAATTCATTATGATGGGAAAAGTTGTAGGAAGAAGAGGCGTCGGTCGCAGAAAAAAGTCATGGCTATATAACATCCGGGAGTGGACGGGACTCTCGAGTGCCGCAGAACTGTTTGGCCTCGCGAAGAATAGAGTGAAGTTCACTAAGCTGACTGCCAATCTTCCCTAGTCGGAGAGGCACCAGAAGAAGAAGAAGAAGAAAAAGAAGAACGAGTTTTTAAAGGTCTGCATCTAGGAATCGTAGTTTTTGATTATAATTTAGGGCATCCATAGATCACCAGAGCTTTGTTCGTCAATCAGAAGGAAATAATTAATATATACTATCTCACTTAAGCCCTTACCTTACAGCTAGGATTATGGATGCCTAAATTTTAATTATTTATTGATTTAACATTACACACTTTATAATTTGCCACCCCGCCTACCAAGCGTGGCAACTATGACAAATATGGGTTCTTAACTATGAAACAATCAATGGGGAAGGGCTATGTTATTAGCCAGGGATTTTTGCTGTAGCAAAAAAGCTGTAATGAACAAATGAAAAATGAAATGGGAGTAGTCAATCATGCCATTCCTGTTTCTGTTAACGGATTACACATATTTGCAAAATATTTATTTCTTCTTGGTACCAGTCTGGTTTCTTCATGTTTTATTTATAGTTTGTTTATTTACGAACGTTTACGAATTAGTTTGCTTATTACAATTAATTAAGTTTGTGTAAATGGACAACTTGCCAACAATACTCGGTATGACACTGTTATATAGCAACCTCGGAAAGTACGTTGCAGGACGTAAACTACATACAGAATATATCTACCCTGCTACTGCTGAAAACAACTAAACAGTCACTACGAATATAAACCACACGGAAATAGAGATTCGGTAGCGGCCTGTAGTCAGGAAGTTGTCGTTGCTTTAGTGGTCCCTCTTCGGTCGTGTCGGATTGTCGTCCCATACTTCTATTGAGTGCAACTATGCTGGTGAACAAACTCTTGCACTATAATCCTGTACTGCGCTAGTCTTCGTTGAGACTGGCCACCGTGAAAAAATTTAATTACTATAAGACAGCATACAATTAAGTGCTACACTTGGTCCACCAATTATGACGACTTCAAAAAGAAGGACAATTCGACTGTATGTTGTTTTTTATGTGTGTTACCTCATAACTTTATTCTATGTGAACCGATTTCAATGATTCTTTCTTTATTTGAAAGTTGGTGCTTCTCTTCGTCATTCGTCATCATTACAGCCCTTCACAAGTCCACTGCTGAACATAGGCCTCCCCCAAGGAATGCCACAAAGCACGGTCCTGAACCACCTGCAGCCATCTGCTTCTTATGTGGTCCCATGTAAATTTGATCAAGGTCTGACCAATAGTTTTTGAGTTATCCTTAATAATATATATTGAAGTCGGTTGTACAAAATTTTGAATTTTTTATTATTTACCAGGTCCTGCTAAAAGATAACTGAGATCGATTGTATGTGTTTAAAATGTGAATGCATCGAAAAATGTTTGAAACCTGTTGAACCATGTCGAACCTTAGACTAACTTAACCTCTCACTTCAAGGGTACTAGAAGAGGTAAATGACAAACGTTAACTGTTAATAAGGAAACGACTGTATTAAGTTAAATGGAGCTCGAACGAAGCGTGGGACACAAAAAGTTTTGCCTGCTTCCCTCTAAAATTCAGTATGATGGCACCTGATTATGATGTAAAATTGTAGACTGTTTTAATCTGCAAATTAAATTAAATAGCTCACATGCTCACCTACAAGTATTGAGATACGTCACAATGCTCTCCTCCATATACCCATGTGTTTTTCGATTTGCTTCGCCGGCCATAAAAGCACTGATAGCAGCCATTTCAAGCGCCCCAGCGTAGCAGAGCCAAGCACTGTCCGCGTAGAACTCTCGTTTAGCTGTGTGGTACGCGTCAAATGCTCGCTGCCACTGCCCACATAAGAACCAAAGATCACCCAAACGTCGAAGCTGTAGTTCTGGACAGTCGTTTGAGTATCTGAAAAATATTAGAAATTGGTTATTTTGTTAAATACACATATACATATTAAATATCGTCATAGTGAAATACGACAGGCTCCGCAGAAGGTTTAGAAGTTTTTTGAATGATACACTGACCAATTTATTTATAATTATTGGTCAGTGTTATTTATTTTTATTGATTTATTATTATAATTATATAGAAAGAAAAATACGAATGTTCCAAAGTCAAATTTCCCTCCACTAATTTTACGATAACTTGAAATATCATGTTTCGTTGAAAAATTGATCTGCGTCGGGAACATTTTCGCGCGATGTCTTTTTACGTTTCTAAATGTCGCCTAACAAATGACATTTATGGATAAAGACCTTTCGAAGGCAACCGTGTACCACCAGTATAATAAATTTCAACACGGCCGACTAGCTTTGAGAAATAAAGACGTGTTTACAACATTAAAAGTTAAAGTTACAGCCTATACACGTCCCACTGCTGAGTACAGGCCTTCTCTTATTTCTGAGAGGGTTTTAGGGCAAAGAAATGTCTGCTGCGCTGCCCCAATACGTGTTGGCGAACTACACATGTCTTCGATATACTTTTTTTTTATTTCTCAGACATGCAGGTTTCCTCACCATGTTTTCCTTTACCGCCGAGCACGAGGTAAATCAGTACTTAAAAATTTCATTGGTGCCGGCGGGGATCAAACCCGGATCGCTCGCGTACTGTTAAATTTACCGCGAGCGCTAACCATCTGAGCTACTATGGCTCATTACATTATATGGTGATGAATCTTGGATTTGTCAATACGATCCAGAAACTAGGCGCATGTCGACGGTTTGGCTGTTTCAAAATAAACTAACGCCCGCCAAAAGGTTAAAAACATTTTGATCGCTTGTTTTTAGCATTGACGGGGTATCTGGTGTCAATTTATTTACGAAATCGAAGTAGCATCAGTGCCGAATGGTATACTCGTACTATCAAAATGCTTGCCGGAAGTGTTTACGGTAAACAATCAGCGACCGAAAACGGGACTCCGCGAGCTACTGCTTCTCAGCTCTTCGGCTTGACTACGCACTCAGCGCTCTGCGCTCGAAACGAAGAACTTCCTGCACACCGGTTAAACTTTTGGGTCACCCTCCTCACAACCCTTATTTGGCACCGAGTGACACTATAATAGAAAAACAGTTTTCTTCGCCGTAAGATGCGATAGCATCGTTCAAGCAGACAATAGAAGCGGTGTCTGAAGCATATTGGAAAAATTGTTCCGAAAATTGGTTCTGGCGCATGAAACTTTGTTTAGAAGTTAGTAGAGTTCTTTGAGATTTAAAAATAAACCGTTTAACCTCAGAACTTAAAAAGAAATTGAAGTGACAAACGAACTTAAAGTCCACCAGATGGTAAGTGACTATTGCAGCGCATGGACACCTGCAACCAACTTTAAATAAAGAAGTTCAGCTGTAAATGCGTGGTCACTTCTGAGGACAGAGATGGAATGCCTCACAGCAAGCTGTTATTATACTGGCTAGCTATACTCATTAGTCTATATAGTATGTGATGGTAATATGGTCGTCCGGTTAATATGGTCACTTTTTTAAATCTCAAAAACTACAGCTTTGTTTGCATAGGTGGTTTGGTGATACGATAGCTCTATAGCAGTCAATCAAATAATAAAGGGTCAAAAGGGCGCTACTTTATCAACGCCATTTTAGCAGTTGAAAATATAGTACAACTTTAGGTCGACTTTAGTATTGTATAGTGTAGTTAGTTTTTTATAAGTTGATTTTTCGAAGTGTTCCTAATTATTATTGTCAAAGCATGTTTGATACTTTTTTAAATTTTTGGTTATAGTAGACCGCTTTGTGTTTTTGTCACTGTCCTCTTCCTTGTTTCGGTTTTATAGGGCGGCAAAGCTTAAGGTGACCATATTACCCTCACGTACCTTAGTCTCTCTTATAGTCATCTGACTGCGACACAGTAGTGCACGCACTTCTATTTGGCGTCAGAAATAGATAACTTTTCTTTAGTTTCGCAAAAGTTTCTGAGTGGCCCATGTATAATTGCAGCAACGTAATTTAATTCGTGGGTTGGAGTGTCACAGTTAATATTAAAGAGGTCCGCTAATAATTATTAGCTTTTCAAAATCAAAAATTGATTTGCGGAAAAATGACAAGAACATGTACACTATAACAGAGTTCTAATATTGTACAGTAGGAGATTCCGCTTGCGCCGTCACACCCGTGCGGTCGTGCGCTAGCGGGGTCCGCTAGATGACCGAGCACCCGTCCCCGTACGGGAATTCCTCGGTCGGTTCAGTTTATCGATAGAACGTCAGTCCCGTCCCGTCTCCCGCAGCTAGCGCCGCCGCCCCCGTGCGGTTGTGTTAGCTGTCCACGCTCACCGTCCCCGTACGGTGAGTGCCCTCCCGCCGCCCGTGTTGGCAGACCGTGCTCGCCGTCCACGTACGGTGAGTGCATTCTCGCTCATGCGACTCCCACATCTTCACTCCTCTGGCATCGCCGCCCCCGTGCGGCTGTGTTGATTGACCCGCGCTCCCGTCCGCGACGGTATGTGCCCCACGCCCTCCTTCCCTAAGGGGGGTCGTTTCCGATGCGGCGTAGAGGCCACTCAGGCCAGAGCCAGTTCCACAGATGGTGTTTAGTGGGTAGGCACTTCTTCAAAGTGAGTCCCACATAACTACGCAGCCGTCTGCGTGGTATGCTATGAGCATTCACCATCTCCCTCACCCGCTTCCGGAGGGTAGCCTTGCATTAGGCGCAAAAAAATACAGTAGGTTGAAGCCACTTATCAACTTTTCAATGGTTCAGAGCGTTCTGATCAAATCTTTGTAATTCTCAAAAACAAATTGATAACAGTATGTTATAAATATCAAAGTAACGACATTATCCAAAAAATTTTAAGATCTAAAGCTTTGACTAAATGTTTGGCTGCGTCTGCGAGTCGCATGTTCGATTCTCGAACAGGACAAGTGTATTATTTGATGAATGGATTACTATGGAAACAAATAATTGTTTCGCTTACGGATGTTATCCATGGGCAACGCTTGTTTGTAAAACATCTCCAGGAGGCACACGACATTACAAAATGGGGATAAGATTTTTTTGAGTTAAGTGCCAAAATTAAAAAATACAGCACTTATGCAATGATCTCGGCGACTGTCTGTCTTTCTGTCACAGTTAGGTGTTTTTCCGGACACTATTTTACGAGCTAAATTATCTGTATGAAAAATTGTAATGGTACGATCAATTGTTGCCAACAATGTAATTATTTAGGTGTAGGAATGATGACAAGTGACTTTAATTATGTAAGTGTTGATTGCACGGATTTTATAATATCACCGTGTTATTTTTTTTATAGAATAAGGGTGACAAACGAGCACACAGACCACCTGATGGTAAGTGAATGCTGTGGCCCATAGACATCTACATTTATCCTAAGATTCAAAATGCAGATGCGTTGTCACCCCTGAGAACTAAGACGGGATGCCTCTTTTGCAGTAAAAAGGGTCTCCGGTTCTTTATACCTACTCACCATATTATATATAGGTATTCATTTCCAGTAGTATTTACACATTTGCCAATTACAAACCACTGCACCGTTTAAAAAATCTACTAGCGTGTTCAATTGTTATGAACAATCTAATAACTTAGGTGTAGAGATCTTGACAAGGCAAACTAATTATGTAAGTGTAGATTGTACCTACTACATGGATTTTTATAATGTACTTACATAACGGTATTATTCCCAGTAGTATTTCCACCTTTGCCAGTTGCAAACCACCGCTTAGTCGCTGACAAGAGCGATCTACTTACGCCCTTTCTATTGGCAACCTTGATAAACAAAAACAGATTTTAACATAACTACCTAGTACAGAATTTTTGATGCAAATTATCAACCAGAAGGAAGTTAGCATAGAACATTACTTTTTTTATAAATTAAACTGTATGCCAATTAATTGCTCCTTAAATGCTCCAGTAGAATCCGAAATTGCTCCACCTCTATTACTATTAGTTAATTTATAATTAATCTTAAAAAAAATAGTTATCAAAAATTTAATTTCATCATCATTCATCATCATCATCATTTATGTTTTATAACGAAATTAAATTTTCGATGGTTAATTTTTTTAAAAATTAATTATAAATTAACTAATAGCAATAGAGATGGGGCAATTTCGGATTCTTCTAGAGCATTTAAGGAGTAATTAATGGCATACAGTATAATTTAAAAAATAATGTTCTACACTAACTTCCTACTGGTAAATTATCATTTACTGGGTTATTTTTTACGATAGATCGGCGTAAATGTGAGTTGTAATATTTATTTGCCAAAAAAATATTAGAACAAAAAGTAAATAATAAACAAAGCTATCTTAGAAAATGTTTGTTTTTTTTTTTCTAAAATTTATATACACGAACATGATAATTTCAATGAAATAACTAAAATTTAAAAAATCCCCGAAATAAAAGAGCTGATGATCTTCGAATGGCTGAATCGATTTTGATAAAACATGTCTAAGAACCACCGCTAGAAAACCAGCTTTTAAAAAAACCGCACCAAAAAGGGTTCATCCCTTTCAGAGCTATGGTGCCACACAGATAGCGCTCAAACATGTAACACACCTTTTTTTGCAATGGGGGTTAATAAAATAAGATTTGTGAGAATTGAGTAATTAACCGCTCGAATTAAGCCTAGTTCGTGTCTTTCGAATTCAAGCGATTGAGCTTTTTAGGGTTCCGTAGCCAAATGGGAAAAAACGGAACCCTCATGGATTCGTCGTGTCTGTCTGTCTGTCCGTCCGTATGTCACAGCCACTTTTTTCCGAAACTATAAGAACTATGCTGTTGAAACTTGGTAAGTAGATGTATTCTGTGAACCGCATTAAGATTTTCACACAAAAATAGAAAAAAAAACAATAAATTTTGGGGGTTCCCATATTTAGAACGGAAACTCAAAAACTTTTTTCCATCAAACCCATAAGTACATGTGGGGTATCTATGGATGATATTGAGGTTTCTTATACCATTTTTTCTAAACTGAATAGTTTGCGCGAGAGACACTTCCAAAATGGTAAAATGTGTGTCCCCCCCCCCCCACCCCCGTAATATGATGTATATTACCATGTAAACTTCCACCGAAAACTGGTATGAACAAGATCTAGTAAGTAGTTTTTTTTAAACGACATAAATCGTAAATTATGTTACTTGCTGTTACGGAACCCTTCATGGGCGAGTCCGACTCGCACTTGGCCGCTTTTTTAATAAGGCTGACGTGCTAAACTTATCCACTAATCGGCAAAAGTATGTATCTCGTGTTGCGTGTAACATGGAATCATTTATGAAGTGAAGTGACTATACAAAGCAATTGATCAATTATGTAATTGTTTAGCCTTAATCTAAACATACCACTTCCGATAGTTGAGCAATTTGTTTTTCTAAGTAAGGGAGTAAGGCTTTTGATGCATACTCTTTTAAGAATTTCTTAATGGCATCAATATCACTTGTGTTTAAAGCAGCTCCATGCACTTCATTAGAATAATCGATTCCTTTTCCGGTCACATTAACACTTTCTGAACTGCCTGAAAATGAATAGGGCTGAAAAAAAGATATAACTTTTTGGAGATATACTTTATTAATAAATTATAAGGTATAGAATATTAATTTATAAAAACTGAATAATAATTCAAAGTTTAAGATAAATATTATATACAAAGAGATGCTTGTCTAGATAGGTAGTTTAATTTTAATTTTAAAATGATCCATCGTAAAATATATTTCCTCAAATGCTCTAAAACACTGACACAGGTAGACTCAGTTCAATTTTAGCAGACTTCAAAAATCATCATTAAAATTGGTTCATACATGGCGACGACGTGATATCTTCGCCAAATGTGAACCGACATTAATGAAAAAGAGGATTACCCCTGTTATTAAGTTACTTACGCTTAAAAAGCTTTCCCTTCACGTATTAGTAAAAGTCAATATTTATTTCACATAATTTACCACTTATTTATTTAATATTACAAATTAATATTACCTGTAAACTATTTGCATTATCATAAACATCATTATCAGAAGTTGTTAGTGGGTGTATGCCATCTGGTGTTGATGTTATCGTTATGTTAGGTCTTTCTTCTGCAACAAGTGGTAAAATTAATTTTTTTTTTTATAATTGACTTCAATATAAATTATTAAGGATAACTCAAAAACTACTGGTCAGACCTTGATCAAATTTATATGGAACCATATGAGAAGAAATCGGTTCACCAAGAAAAAAGTTATGAAGAAACACACATAAATAAAACATACAGTCGAATTGAGTACCTCCGCCTTTTTGTCGGTTGAAAAAAAAAGAATGCTCCATTTTCAGAACTATGGGTAGGAGTAAATTTATTTAGCTTTACTTAAATTTCATAGTAGGCATGCGTAACCCCAACTAAATGAGTGTGACCTCCAATGAATCCCAGTAATACTGAAATTTTAGCAACAAATATATCGCTTACCCAGAGGCCAAGAAATTAAATCTTTCAACATGCACTATAAAATAACAGAAGTTCTCACTCAATTATCCTATCATCTCACAATAATAAAACAGCCTATATGCCCAGCTATACCTATAGGCTGCTATTTTTTACATATTATGTATGTTTTAAAATAATCCTACAAAGTCAATAGTTCATTACGAAATTTAAAGTTAGGTTTAGCTTATTTTCATATAACAATATCACACTACATAAATGGTTATTTTGTTATATAAGTTAGCACACAAACTAAATACAAAAATCTTACCAGGTGTCATAACATTAATGGGAGTGGGAGCAACTTGCGGTTCAAATGATGTAGTAGTTGTATTCATTGGCGACGAAATTTCACTCTGAAATAATATTCATACATTAAAAATCATGTTAATATGCAGAAAAATACGATAAACTAAAATTCTAATATCATTACATTAGATTCAGGAGTTCTTGTAACAAATGGAGCCCAAAAATCAGTAAGTAACTTGGGATCACTTGAAGTTTTTGAATTTATTGTCAACATGAAACAGTTTCCTATGCCAAAAGCTTGTTTCATTGTTTCAAATAATGTCTCTGCTCTGAAATCCGAAAAATTACAATCTATAACCTTTTTAGAGAAAGAAAAATAAGTTTAGAATCCACCTTAATACATACTTTTCCTTAGACACACATGATACATCATGTAAGAGAAGATAAGATTTTAAAACCCCATTATTAAACCATTTGGGTAATTTAGGAGGGGCAATATTTTGTAATTGTGCATATTGTTGATTCAATACATTATAGGTATCTACAATATTTTCATCCAGTGTTGTGGCCACAATTAAGCAGGACAAAAAATGTTTAGTAAATTCATGATCGGAAGGAAATTGCACCTCAAGATAAGTCTCCCTCCAAGCATCAAACCAGGGTGTAAGTTGTGGAACATCAAACTTACGCCCATCTGTAAACATAGAGTAACAATTTTTAAGTCATTACAAATGTTTAAAATCTATGGTTACTTGTTGAAAATATATACTCAGGTTTTGCAACAGGTAACTCTATTTTCATTTCTTTCAGTGTGTAGTGTCTGCTTGGATCTTTTATCAGCGTATTATTCTTTAAAACTTATTTAAGTACTTTCATTACATTTCGGTAAAGTCATCATTTAAATGCAATAATATCTAAAATGATTTCTGGGTCATCACCACCTTGATCTAAAAAGTTTTATGTATACTTTTTTAAATAGGATAAGGGTGACAAGTGGGCACACAGTCCACCTGACGGTAAGGGGGGTTCCGTGGCCCATAGACATCTACATCTACTCTTGGTTGCGAATAAAATGAAGATGCGTTGTCAGCCGTGAAGACCAAGATGGAATGTCTATTTTTTAGTAAAAGGGGTCTCCTGTTCTCTACACAGCAGCATTAAGCTGCTCTTTTACGCTGGTAATCTGTGAGAGCATAGTCCTTGCCCAGTCAATCCCACCCTTTCGTGCTAAACTGTACTATTGATATAGCTGTAGCATGACTCTAATAGTAAACATGGTACCTGAGAGACATACATGCCGAGTCATTGACTGAGTAAGTTAATTACATTTTCAACACATGCTCAATAGTAAAAGAATTATTGTAAGGTAAACAATACTTCTCAGAAAAAAAATTCAAGATCAAGTAATTCGAGTGGCAACTATATCAAATGTGAGATATTTCTAGAGTTGCCATTCTAACTTCTTGATCTTAAAATATTATTTTATGAAATGAAGAATTTATAACTTTTTACATTTCTCAGTTCAGTCACTCAGAGTTACTTATATGTTTGTGAGTTATATATTTCAATAAGACTTAGGTAGAAAATGCAAAGTAAACAAATCTTGAGTTTTATAAGATTTAACATCAAAGGTGATATTAACGTGTAATAAAAAAGGTTTCATATTGTTTTTAAATTAATAATATGTAATTCTATCTCTTCATTAAATTGCAGTTTTTAAGCAGTTTTTGATTTTGAGCTCTTAGTACAAATTAATTTCTCACAAATTTATGATTGACAATGAAGGAAACAAAGCCAACTAATCACTGTAATAATTTTATGGTTATAACAAATAAGCCAAATTTTACAGGTGGCCTAGATTTTTTATTGCACACCAGTAGTATCCTTACTATTCAACTAAGTACTGTCAAACCACTCCCAGCACAGTCACTTTTTAACACTTTTAATAGAAGTTTCAATAGTGTTAGTATTCCCTTGTTTGTCATTGTATGCTAAAATGGTAAAAACTAGACATTGCTAATCTATATAATTTTAATTTATTGTATGAAGCCATACCAAACTCCAAAGTAACCGTTTTTTCATCATAGTTATGTAAAACTGCATTATTTAATTGTCTTCTAGCTTCAGTAGGTTGAAGAGGTTTCCAGTTTACATCTCTTATTATTAATTTCCAATTTTTTATAGTACAAGTGCTTCCCCCAGGCTCTCGGAATTGACCTAGAAATCAAGTAAATTAAATCAATAAAGTTATAAATAACTGGCATGTGTTGAAAAATACAATTTCTAACCTTTTTCATAATAAAATTTATTAAATATTATAACAGTCAGGAGAATAACAACCATGTATAATTGTTCTAATTGACCTTCTTGGGTCTTCCACAAGCTTTAAGGCCCTAACATTCTTTTATTTCATAGAAGGGTGGCAAGCAAGCGCACAGATCATCTGATATCAAGTAGATACTGTGACCCATTGACACCTACAAATAAATCAATGTGATTGTCACCACAGAGGATTAAGATGGATTGCCTCTTTAACAGTAAAAATGATCAGTTGTGTTGGAGTGGAATATTCTTATTTTTCTTTGCAATTAAAATTAAAAATTACTAATATTGCATTAATTATAAAATATATATGTTATAATTTTTAAACAACAAAAACAGTCAAAAGTATCTTCATTAAAGAAGTTAAGGCAAAAGTAGTTTTGACTGGAAAAATAAAGGTAAAAAGCGATTTTGACTGAAATATAATGGTTAAAAATAGTTGGTCATAACCAAGAAAAATAGTTATTATCACTTTTGACCAGGAGTATCTAGTAAAAATAAATATTATTTATAATGTTTATTGCCAATGGATTTAAGAACAAATTATGTAGTTTTTTCTTGACTAAACTATTTTTTCGCAAGCTTACATAACTGTATTACAGACATGTACTTGAACTTGTTGGAAAAAGTAACATCAGCAACATTAGATTGAGGTGCAGCTGGGATGGTCCCTAGGCCATCCATAAAGCCACAAACATCTGGTTCATCCTGCCAAACCAATCCCAATAAAGAAGATGTATTTTTGAGAGAGGAATACAGCAGGGGTGCTACTTCCTCTCTCCCTCTTCTTTTTCAAGAAATTGTATATGCCATCAAAAACATAACTTGTAAAAATACCAAATCTCGCAACTCAGTTCTTCTACCGTAAAAAGTTGTGAGATCCATGTAATACCAAGTTGGTTAATTTATTCAGTCCCTACTTAAGGGTCCTTCTGTCTTAAGTTATTACGTAATTAGCTAACCTAACAAAATCTTATAGTGACCAAATCAATACTAAAAATCTTTTATATTTTAAATAAATAGATTGACTTGGCCATCGCATGAAAATGCAGTGTATCTCTCAAATAATCCATATAATATTAAATTAGATTGTTTAGTGCGATTGCCAAGTTAATTCTTAAACTACTGGTTCAAATTAAATAAAATTTTAAACATATTGAGATTATACAATGCCCACTTGGTTACTTAAAATTCAGGCGTTTGATCCACAACAAAGTTATAGGGTTTAGAAAATGGCCTGAACTGCTTCGAGAAAAGGATGGTACGGCCATGCCGCTTTTTTGCTCGACTTGGCGGGGGCACTGTCGTGCCCCCAGATGTGGAGGTTAGGGGGGATGTACGGCAGAGGGATTACAGCCAAATATTTTTTAAAGAAATGAATATATTAGATATATTAAAATAAATAACACAAAAACATACCTTCCCATTCCATTAATGCAAAAGGTTGTAGTAGTTCAGAAAATGTCAAATTATTTTTAGATACAACATTATTTACTTTTGGACTACATAATACCGCAATAATTGGGGAAAAAGAGTTTTGAATAAAATCTTGAGCAGATTTACCCATCGTTGGAACTCTCTAATGCCAGCCTATTTGTTGTTATAAAATTAACAATCTTACAAATTCTTGTCACCAAGGGCACTATTTACATTATTTTGTTTTGCGGTATTCATATATAGATATATATTAGAGGAGTTATTTTGATATTCCAATAATCGCGCACCTATTTTCAATTTCCACTCCACTCTTGATAAATTGATAAATACTAAATTTTTGACGTAAAACGGTAAAACGTCAAATTGACAACTCAACTCATTAGAGTCTTTTTTAAACTGGCTTTACGGCTCTGGGTTCTCATTAGATATACTCTTTATTAGAACTTTAGAGTCACAGACTAATATCACCTTTTGTTTTGGTAGCAATCTATTACTCTTTGCTTGAGAACAGTGATTCCCAGCCAGTGGTCCGCGGACCACCAGTAGTCCGCAAGAGCTTAAATATGGTCCGCGAGAGACCAGCGCGGTCGCAGCCTGAAATTTTGGAGGGGGTCATTAAAATAAAATATGTCGAGTAAATCAAACTTTATTGCACAATACACGATTTTACAGCACACATGATAAAACAAATGTAGGTCTTCTATTTTTATTAGCAAAACAGGTGATTATATTTGAGACGTTTGGGACTATGAATGAATATGTAGAAGAGCTAAACCTGTCAGCCTCTCTTCTTATCTTTCCTCTCAATCAAGATTTTACATGTCTTAGCGTAAAAATGATTTCTCTAGCTTGTAGGAAGAGTTGCCAGAATTTTCAGCAGTCTTTTTTGTTATAGGATAAAGGTGACAAGCGAGCACACAGTTCAACTGATGGTAAGTCACAGAATACCAGCGTGAAGTAGAGGTTCACCTCTGCGTTTCGCTTCGTCAGTGCAGGAGGCCGGTGGCCCAATCCCCCCCCCATCATCACGGTAGCGAAATTAAACGTAAGACTACCTCAGGAGTGTACCAGAACCCCTGAAGAAACCCTCGCTGAGCATCCACGACCAAGCTAATCCACTACTGAGCGTACGTGCTCAGGCAAAATTCGTCTCGCGTCTAATACTGTTCGGGGCAAGCGGAGCAATAACACCAAGGCGGCTCCTGTCCTCATCGACCGACCCCCGACAACAGCGACTATCCCCGCGTCTACGGGTGCCTCTATAGGTCCCAGAGCGGTAATGTCGAAACAGACCGACTCATCGACTACGTCCAAATGGCTACGGATTCCATGTTACAGCAGATCCCATCCACAGAGATTGTGATCCTTGGCGATTTTAACGCCCACCACGCCTAATGGCTTTGTTCACGTTCAACCGATCATGCGGGGAGAGCTGTTTATGATATTGCTTTGGCATATGGTCTTACACAGCTACTTACTTCGCCTACGCGGATTCCAGACGTGGAGGATCATGCACCTTCCCTGTTGGACCTTCTGCTGACCTCTCATCCGGACGGATATCAGGTTTGTGTCGACGCTCCTATAGGCTCGTAGGACCATTGTCTTGTCCGGAGTGTGGTGCCACTCACACTAACGTCACGGTTGCAATCTGCAGGTTGCCGCCGTGTTTGGCACTATAGGTCGGCTGATTGGGATAGGATGCGGTCTTCTTATGCATCCTACCCTTGGGGGCGGGCTTACTACTCGCCGGAAGATCCCAGCGTTGTTATTGATTCTGTTGCTGATGTGGTACTTCAGGGTATGGAATTTTTTGTTCCATCCTCTGTGGTGCCCATCGGAAGGAGATCTCCGCCATAGTTTGGTCGCTCCTGTAAAATAGCATCACGCTATAAGCAGGAGTGCTACCGGGCCTGGGCTGACGCATCAATGTCTCGGAATGTAAACACCAGCGCTCTTAAAAAGAATCATAATTCCGCCTCCAGGTCCTTCAAAAGCGTCATTGCCAAGGCAAGGTCTGAGCACATCGGCAGAATTGGTGAGAAGCTAGTTCACCTTCCTTCGGGAACCCATGCATTCTGGTCTTTCGCTAAGGCTGTCCAAGGGAACTTCTGTCAGCCATCTCTTCCATTTCTGCACAGAGAGGACGACTCACTGGCCTATGCCGCAAAGGAGAAAGCCAATCTGTTAGGCTCTCTCTTTGCGTTCAACTCTACTCTAGATGACGGGGACAACACACCGCCGACAATTCCGCGGTATGATTGCTCCATGCCGGATGTGCGGTTTACACAGCGCTCCGTTCGCAAAGCACCCTTCTCCCTGGACGTGAGCAAATCGAGTGAGCCTGATGGAATCCCTCGTATTGTGCTGAAGACGTGTGCTCCGGAGTTGGAACCAGTTTTAACGCGTCTTTTCCGGTATTCCTACTCCCAAGGCGCAATCCAGAATTCATGGAAGACTGCTTTGGTCCACCCGATCCCTAAAAAAGGTGACCGCTCAAAACCGTCCAACTACAGGCCTATCTCCATCACCTCCTTGTTCTCCAAAAAAATGAAGTCTATTATAAATTGCCAGCTCATGAGGTACCATGAGGATCACCAGCTGATTAGTGACCACCAATACGGTTTTCGTCGGGGTCGATCAGCTGGTGATCTTCTGGTCTTTCTGACTCATAGATGGGTGGAGGCAGTAGAGTCCAAGAAGGAGGTATTGGCCATTAGTTTGGACATAGCAAAGGCCTTCGATCAGGTCTGGCACAAAGCGCTTCTTTCGAAGCCCCCTTCCTATGGGATTCCCGCAAAATTGTGCAATTTCATCACCAGTTTCCTTGCTGATCAGAGCATCAAGGTCGTAGTATATGGTGCATGCTCTGATTACAAGCCTACTAACGCTGGTTTTCCACAAGGCTGCGTGCTATCACCAACGCTGTGTCTTTTGCATATCAATGATATGTTGCAAGCTGGTAACATTCATTGCTATGCAGACGACAGCACTGGTGATACCTTATACACCGGCCGTGCCAATATATCTCGAAAAAACTTTGCCGAGTATCGGGACCAACTTGTGTCTGAAGTCGAGTCTTTGTTGAACAATGACTCGGATGGGGGGCGACTAAATCTAGTCCAGTTCAATCCCCAGAAGACACGAGTTTGCGCGTTTACCGCTAAAAAGAACCCTCAGTTTCAAGGCACTCCCCTTGCTGCCTCAGCTAGCATCGTAATCCTCGGCATCGACATATGGAATAGTGTACAGTTTCGTGACCTGGAAGGGAAGGCCAAATTGGCCTCTAAAAAGCTTGGCGTGCTCAGCAGAGCAAGGCAGTATTCCATGCCAGCACATCGTTTGCAACTTTACAAAGCGCAAGTTCGGCCTCATCTCTGACTCACTCAACTCAGACTCATTGACAGCATCCAGCGTAGAGCGGTTCGAATTGTTGACGACCGAGTTCTTTCTGATCGACTCGATACACTAGCGCTGCTTAGGGATGTTGCATCCCTTTGCATTTTCTATCGAATCTACTACGGGGAGTGCTCTGAGGAATTGTTCGGATTAATTCCAGCCGCCAAATTTCACGAAAGCACATCCCATCGAAATTCACAATACCATCCTCACCATCTGGATGCTTGGTGGTCTACGACTGTGCGTTATACTAGGAGTTTTCTTCCTCGTACACCTTCTCTGTGGAATTGTTTACCACCGGCGACTTTTCCGGACCGATACGACTTAGGGACCTTCAAGAAAAGAGCTTCCACCTTTCTAAAAGTCCGCCAACGCATCCGCAATGCCCCTGGTGTTGCGGTTGTTCATGGGCGGCGGTAGTCACTTACCATAAGGTGAGCCGCATGTTCGTTTGCCCCATCTTCTATATAAAAAAGTGGTTGCTGTGGCCTATAGACATCACCTCTTTCCTCATTTGCGAATAAAATGCAGTTACATTGTCGGCCGTGAGGTCTAAGATGTAATGCCTCTTTTCCAGTAAAAAGGGTATCCGGTTCTCTACACTGACCAAACTAAACACAGCAGCATTAAGCTGTTATTTTACGCTAGTATCTGTGAGAGCGTGATCCTACCCGGGTCGAGCCGACCCAATCGTGCTACAAATATACTATTAATATGTATGTATTAGTATGTGTAGCATGGCTCAACCACGTATAATTTTTATATTTATATTTGGGTAGAGATCATCGTCGTAAACTTCAAACCACACACTTTGGAAATTTTGTGTCAGTATTTTCTTTGAGCTCTCGTATCCACTTTATACTCTGTAATGAGAATGCTTGCAGAAACACTCAATAAATGGGAATAACATTATGATACTTTCTTCCCATTAAGAAGATCTTCTATATATTTAAATAGAACTAATTTTACGGATTTTATCGTGTATATTAACTTATTTTATATTCCCGACGTTTCGGGCACTTTTCAGCACCCATGCTCACGGGGGGGGGGGGGGACTGAGGTGTATGACGTCCCAATGTCATAGTTAACCACGTCTACCTTCTGGTTAAAAATTATTAATTTTTGTTCCGATCTACGCAGTATGAACTTACAGTATCTTGAAGTCTTGCAGTATTATGCTTGGGTTGGGATTTAATTTTATTAATTATGGGATCCCAAGCAGATGGTAGCACCCAGCCATCTTCTCTATTGAAATTAGGATGTTTTTTGATTTCAATAGCCTCGCGAATCATCCTGGGAAGGAATCGGTGTTCTTGAGCGAGGATTTGTAATCTATCAAATCTAATGTAGTGACGGGGGCGATCCTGTACGTGTTCACAGACTGCAGACTTCCCAGAGCGTTGATTCTTCACATGAGCTATGTGTTCTTTAACGCGGGTTTTTATGGATCTTTTAGTTTGTCCTGTATAAGAGATAAGAGATATTCTATATATTCAGATTTTGGGATAAAAATGCCTAATCCAAACAGGTTTTTCGTATCCACAGAAAGTCGGTCCTGTAAGTTAGTCATTATGCTATCAGTGGTATATAAACAGTCCTCCGAAAATATTCCTCGTTATTTCCTTGATAATTATCGCGAAGAGTTTGCCAATTTTGCAATTTGACGTGTACGATTTGGGGGAGGGGGGGGGGGGGGTCATGTCCCTTGTGACTTATTTTATATATTTTAGATTT